CCTCTGCACTGAGAGTCCAGAGTGATCATTTTAAAACTCAGAAGTTTTTTAATCTCCTCTGCTCAAACTGTCCAATGGCCATCAACTCATTCCACATCAAGCAGAGTTCCTGTGACGGTACTACATGATCTGGCCTCAGTCTTCTCTGTTATACTACATCCTTGATCACTTGGATGCAGTAACGCCGGCTTCCTTGCTATTGCTTGAATGTGGGGTGTTCTGTGTTCTCAAACTGGGGGCTTCTACTCTCTGTTCTTGCTGCTTAGAATTGTCTTCATCCAGATATCTTCATGGCTGGTTGCAGATTTTTTGCTTTTTGCCCAAATGTCACCTTCTCATGAGCTTTTCCCTAACCACCTTAAAAGATCACATTCTTATTACCATAACCTGTTGTCATGTCTGCCATATTTTTCTCTTTTGTATTCATCACTGTCTCCATATCCCATATAATATCATTTGTTTGCTTATTGTTCATCTTCCCCATGTGTATTGCAGTCTCTGCAGACGCAGAACTTTTTGTCCATTAGGTTTACTGCATTCCCAGTTCCTGGCATAGTACTTGACACATGACAGGCTTTGCGACTAAATACATTTGAACAACAGATTGAATGAATGTCGTGTAGAAAACATTCAGTCAGTGGTAGCTATCTTGCACTAAGTTTCTCCTGCTGGCAAGGACATGGTATAATTTAAAATATGATGAAGTGGGACCAGCTTTCAAAGAGCTTACTATGCATGATAGGAACTTTGAAAGTCATTTAATATATAATCAATCCATTAAAGTTTTTAAAAAATGAAAGCCAGCTCTATTTAGAAGACAGGGCTGGTGCATTGGACCTGATGGACTGGAAAGTAGAGATGAGAGGCAGCATTTGGGAGGAGGGGTGTACACCGAGTGAGCAGCTCAGGGTGGCAGTGAACTCAGCAGGTTAGTTTTTCGAGGGGAGATGCTGGTATCAGAGGTGGAATTAATGGAACCTGGATGCGGTGTAGAAGAAAGAGGTCACACTTCAGGACAGTCTCGGAGGAGAGGGTAACACCAGGGGCACAGGTGGAAGGAGGGCTGGCCTTAGGAAGGAAGGACGGAGGACTCTTTCTTTTTAATGGTGGTTAAGGGGGAGAGGTTGACAGAGCTCTTGGAATAGAGTTCGGAGCATGGAGGCAAGAGAAGTTAAGAACATCGTTACACACTGATGAATAGGCAGTCAAGAAGAGGTTAAGAAGGAAAAGCTGAATAGCGGTGAAGGAGTCGGCTGATCTAGTGTGGGAAGTATGGTTTTGTTGTGAAGATTTCTGAATTATACAGACGACACCCCCTGCCCCCCCCCCCGCCGGGCAGAAAAAGGCTTTGTATCCTATAAGCTGCTGCTCTAAGGAAGAAAAGCCAAAGCTTTGTCTAGATTTTCAGCTTTTAGAAGGAGCTTTGGGAAATACAGTAGTGCCAATTTTTTAAATGACTACAGGTTAATAGTTACTTAGGATTGTATTCTGAAATTCCTAGACAGATGTTAAGGTGATTTAAAAAACTTTCTCCTTTTCCTCCTATTTTGTTGCTGGTTGGTTATTTCATCAGGAAAGATTATCCGCTTATGGAAAGCTGTGGAATGATTTCAGAAAAGCCTCGTGTTCCCTGCAGAGAGACCTCCCATGTACTCTCTCCACATTAGGTGCCCCGTCCGAGACCCGAAGTGATCTTACCCTCGAGCAGGGTAGTTTCTCCTGAAACTGACACCGTTGGCAGTCAGGAGTGGTGTTGAAATGTGGACTTAGCCTGTGAAAGCCACCACTGCAAATTGCCAGCTCCTTTTACCTCCACCAACAAGTGACCATTTGTTAAAATTTAGCTATGTTAAAGCATCAGTAACCTGCCCTAGTTTGAACTGGCTCCTTAGGAGAATTGCTGGTTTCTTTGCCATGTACATAGTGTTAGGAGGTTTATTTACTGTTAACGAAGTGATACTTACTTATTTACTTAAATGTGTTTCTCATCTGCTTATCCCCTAAGAGCTTGGTAATGATTGATTATGTACACGATGGTATTAAGGACCTGTGGATTTGTGCTGCCTGGGTGCCTTTCAGTGTGTTCTCCATGAGTCCTGCCCTTCCCTCCTCTCCTTTGAAATAACTCACATAGCATATCGCCGGGAAGCCAACATTGATTAATCTAACATGACAAATTATTTCTTTATTTTGCCTCTCAGCACTTGAGTTCTCAGCCCTGTCCTTTATGGGCGACAGGCTATAGAAAGCCTCAGGGTCACCAGCCCCAGAGTACACTAGATAGAACAGAGCCTCTGGAGACACCCAAGCTTGGCTTCAGATCTGGGCTCTGTCCCTGACAAGGTATAGACCTTCCCAGAGTTCAGTTGTCTTGTCTAGAAAATAAATGAGAGTAATTCTACCCATGTTGTCGGGATTGCATGAGATAATAAGGTGTATAAGGCACTTGTCCATGCTCTGTAAATCATTGTTCACTCCCAGCCCATACATTAAATACAAATTTTGCTTGGACACAAAGGCTTGTCTAAGCCTCCTAAAGGACTTGGGGAACTGAGAAAGCATCTGGGATGTATTGCACGCTGATGAATTCGTGAAAGCCCCATTAAAACTGAGATGAAGCCAGGGATTTAGCTCAGTGGTTCTGGCGCCTGCCTCGAAAGTGCAAGGTCCCGAGTTCGATCCCTGGTTATCCTCCCGCAAAAAAAAGATGAGTGTGCACAGGAGTTGGGAGTATGGGCTTTGGCAGCAGGAATCTGCTGTGCAATCTGAGGCAAGTTATTTTAAAGAGCAGATGAGACCAGGTGTGTGAGATGCTCAGCATGAAAGCTCAATAAACTCTGATGCTCCCTCAGCAGCAGATTTCACTTCCCCAAGTCACCCTTCAGTGACCAAGAGTCCTTTCTTGGAATATTAGGGTCAGGACCAACAACTCAGTTTGTTAGCTTTTTCCTCTCTGTTCTTTGATGTTATATATCTGCAATAGAACTGGATTTTCTAAACTGTAAATTCCTTCATTTTTAAGGCTTCAAGCCTTTTTTCCCTCCTAATAAGAAAAATTTTTGTTAGCACCCAGGGTAGAATGATCTTTGACTTTTAGTCTTTTAAGGACAATCCTTGAGTTGTAAGACATGTAATAAAGACTTTCTTTCCTCATCTTGCTTTAGTTATTTAGTAGTATGGGTATATGCCACACTATGACAGTTTATCCTTTCATTAAGGCACAGACTGAGTAATTTATTGATTGCTCTTTATGTGTGAACCTCTCTTCAAGGGCTGGGGACACAGCAGTGAACAAGACTGTGAGGGGCCTGCTCTTCTGAAGCTTTCATGTTACAGAACTCCCAGATTGTTATCAGAGTGCCCGTACAGTCCCTCTGTCTAGTATTAGGTTGCTCGGCATCCTCACCAGCGCTGGATTTTGACACTTTTAAAAAAAATTCTTGGGGCTGGGGATTTAGCTCAGTGGTTCCGCCGCCTGCCTCGCAAGCACAAGGTTCCGGGTTCAATCCCTGGTACCCCCCCCCAATTAATTAATTAATTAATTAATTCTAGCCATTCATTCTAGTAGGTATGTGGCACCTCGTTGTGGTTTTAATGTTGATTTTCCACTGACAAACACTGCTGAAGTTAAGCAGTGTTTCATATGGTTTGGGCCATTTGGAGAGTCCCTTCTGTGCCATGCCTGGTTGTGCCATTTGACCATGTTTGTAGTGGGTTAGCCAAGCTTTTCCGAGAAGTGGGAGTTCTTTCTGTATTTCAGATATAGATGTCAGATAGTACATGAGTTGCAAATATTTTCTCCCCCTCTATCTGCCACATGCTTTGAAAATAGTTATATTGGCACATAGCCACACATGTGTTTGTGTGTAGTCTGTGGCTGCTTTTGCACTACACAGGCACAGTGGAGTAGTTGTGATACAGACCTGGTTATCTATAGAGCCTAAAATATTTAGTATCCAGTCCTTTACAGAAAAGTTTGTTGACCACAGATTTAGATGGCTGTATTTGCTTTCTCCTACAGCATAACAAATTACTACAAACTTAGTGGCTTAAAAGAACACACACATTTATCACCCTACAGATTCCCATGGGTGAGGCAGCTGAGGACAGCTTAGCAGGGTCCTCTGCATAGGATCACCCAAGGCTGCAGTGGAGGTGTTGGCCAGGGCTGGGTCCTATGTAGAGGCTCGACTAGGGAAGGGTTCAGGTCCAAGCTTATCCAGCCCGCTGGAAGAATGTATTTCCTGTGGTTGTGAGAGAGGCAGCCTTCGTGTTTTACTGGCTGTATGCCAGAGTCACCCCAGCTCCTCAGGAAGCATAGCCCTTGGCAGGGGAAGTTCATACAGTGAGTCCATGGCTCTTCAGAGCCAGCAGGACAGCAAGAATGGGTCTGCCGGCAAGATGGAGGCTTATGCAACATACCAGTACAGGAATGCCATTCCATCACTGCTGCCACTTTCTTTTGGCTAGAAGCAGTCACAGGACCTGCCCTCCTGCTCACACAGGAGGGAAGGGGATTATACAAAGGGAGGTACACCAAGAGGCAGGGATCCCTTTAGAGTGTGTTTGCCACAGTAATCTGAGTCATAGATTGGTATCTAAGTTGTCAGGTACTTTTCCTATACTTAGATAATTGGATACTGTTTTAAGCAAAAATAGGATCATACATATAGTTTATTGTGTAACTGGCTTATATAATGGTATCCTGAGCAGAGGAACATAAACATTTTTCAGGTCAGTAAGTCTAGATCCACAGCATCCCCCCTAATGGCTGCATTGTATCCCATTAGATGGATATAATTTACTTAATTGTACTCTTTATGTTAAATATCGAACTTGCTCATCTTACCATTTGCCATATGCCATTGAAATGGGTGCTCATTTCCGTACACTACTTCAGGCTGGGTGCAATTCTGTTGCAGTCATGGCTCTTGTTCAATGTATAAATGAACCCAAACTCTCTCCCTTCTCTCCTCTTCCTCCTGTGTGTCCTGCTTTAGATAAGAAGGCCGACTGCACCATCACCATGGCTGACTCAGACTTGCTGGCTCTGATGACTGGTAAAATGAACCCTCAGTCGGTAAGTATGATGGAGCCTCAATCCTGCTAGCAGATGGGTCTCTCGGCCCTTTGCACTTCACCTCCTGCCTCAGACCCTCTATGCAAAATGGTCAGACCCACAAAACTCAGCGTTCCCCAGAACATCACCTGACAAATGACAGACATTTGTGGGGCCAGCTGTGTGCCAGACACTGTCCTGGGTGCTGGAAGTGCCAGATTCAGGAAATAGTTCCCACAGTCAGGGCAACCACAGTGTGGTATGAGACAGATCTGTAAAAGAGTAAATATAACTAGTGATCCAGAGTGCCTTGCCTGGCTTGTGGTCAGGGAGAGTAGAGGAAGGAGCAGCCTTGTTTTCTGGGACACTAGGGGCCCCACAACAGGCGGAAGATAGCAGTGCACCGTGGAGAGGAGTAACGTCAGGGTGTAGGGTGGGGTTGAGCACACAGGACCTTTGAGGTTTTGTGTCTTGGCTTTGTTCTTCCTGCCTCAACTCTCATTCCCTGACAAAATCCCCTGACTTTTGAAATTAGCTTAGGTATTCTCTCTTGAGACTCCAAATTGTTGAAAGCTGTAGAGTCCCAAGTCTGAGCCACTTACTGGATTGCTAGTTTAGCACTTGTCCTGTTAGCTGTAATGTGCCTCTTTTCCATTAAACAATGAATGTCTCAAATACAAATCACATCATATTGATCTTTCTGTTTGTAGAACTTAGCACAATGCCTGATGTGTTCAGGTTTTTATAAATAGTTGTTGGAACAAATTGTGCTTGTCTAAAATATATTGGTGCCTTGTATGGATCTTCCTGATCCCCAAATGGTCAAGAGTTCCTTGTACTCTTTAGTTGTATGGTGGTAAACAGACAGGGTGTGCTGGGCTTTCTGTCAGCTTGGTATACTGAGTGTTCTATTGGCAGAAAGAAGCTGAGACCTTTCTTTTCATTGTAACTTAGTTTGTTGCCTCAGCCTTGTTTGTTTCAGGCCTTGTTCTTATCCTTCCCTGGTAATTCCTAAGATTAGATAAAACAGCTCAATCTGACCGTCACATGTATGCCTTTTAAAATCTTTTTTCTGAGCCACTACACATATTTCAGTTGGTGCCATATGTTTCAATGAATATACACAGACAGTTCCACCCAGAGTTCTCTCGAAACCTGGACAGGACAGAGGCCACCAGTGTAGGAGTTGGCAGTCACCCTTCTTCCCAGCCATGCTGCCTGTCCCCCTGCAGACACCGTGCACTGCTTTGGCAGGGTGTGCAGACTTCACGCATCAGCTGCCTTCTCTCTCTCCATTCATCTGTGCACTGCCTATTTGGGGTGTGGGAGTGAGGTGACAGCTTATTTTCCCTCAGCACCTGTTAGCACCCAAAGGAATCACAGATTGAAACAGCAGAGCTTTCTGGTAATGTGCTAATGGCCTTCCCTTATGCTCAGTAGAGGACTTGGCTGGAGATCATTAAATGCAGTGGAAATTCTAATTCCAGTGTTTGGCTATGGTCAAAACAAACCCGTGTGCTCTCCAGCCCAAAGCACACATGAAGAACACCTAGAGGCCACTTTAAAATGATCCGTATGTTTGGGTTATCCACAGAGTCAGATTCATATTTTCTCTATTAGTAAATAAAGCATTATTTTCCCTTTTAAGTTAAAAAGGGGAAAGATGGTGAGTTTCTTTTGTACTGCTGGTCTGTATTTTTAAATGACATATGTTAAATGTATTGTGTTCTGAGACACCTGACCTTTAAGTCATCAGACAGAAGGCTTCGTGCCATATAGAAAGGAAATATTTAGTTTGCCCAGACAGGGAGGGAAGAAAAAAAAGGAATTAGTCACCCTTACCAAGAGGTGTACAAAAAAGGGCAAAGCCCCTCACTTAATATACTTGTGTAAAAAGCTAAGACTACCAGAAACTTTTCTCTTCTAGCTCTTCCTTATTTCAGGAATTGAGTTAAAAGATTGAGATCATGTCAGGGAAATCAAGCTGTGCTCCCAACTTTGCTGTTTCTCTTAAGTGTTTCTAAGGTTTTGTTACATGGTAAATTTAGCAAACATCATGTGATCTAATCCCAAGTGTTGTTAAAGGGAACAGATTTTGGCTCTGCCCTTCAGAGTGGTCTGATTCTTCTCCCTGGGCCAGCAAGTAGCTTGAGCACCTGGTCCGCACGGGCCTGTCCTCTGTGGGGACCAGTCTTTATCAGGGAAAGCAGAGTAATTCTCGGTTTCTAGGAGAAGACATTTTGGAGGAAAAAGAAACAGAAGACATTTGGGGACAGTGTACCCTCCTCCTGCTCTACATAAAGCATGGTCTTTACAGTCCTTTCATCTGAGGAGTCTGGTTCTAAGTCTGTTCCAAAAAGCTAAGTGTTGTATTTTGAAGAACATCAGTGACCTGGATGAATGATCTCGGTGCTGGATAGTCTAGGAACATTAGCAGTCTCAAGACAAAACTGCCACTTTTCTTTCTTCTTCCTCACAGGCCTTCTTTCAAGGTAAATTGAAAATCACTGGCAACATGGGCCTGGCAATGAAGTTACAGAATCTTCAGCTTCAGCCAGGCAAAGCCAAGCTGTGAAGAACTAACTCCCTTTGGCAGCTTTGGAAAATCAAGATGAGATATAGATCCATATATTTCATTGTCAGAGCTTAGGCTGAAACTACACGTTGGCAAATAATATGAGATAGCTTTGAGCTGATGGTATGCTACTGCTTTGCAGAATTGCATAAAATGTGCATGACAAAGTTAATATGGTAATTATGGTTTGGGGTAAATTTGAGTTTCAGAATAAAAGTAGGAACAGTAAAAACTATGTAAACAAAAGCTCTTGTTTTGCTTAGAAGTATATTTAAGAATTATCCTGTGGTGGATCCAATTTAAATTTTCCTTGGGAGAACTGGGAAAGAAGCAATACCAGTTGCTGGCCAGCAATTAGTGTCATCCACTTGATGACCGTCATTGATTTCTCACTAACAGTTCTTAAAATTCTGTACTGGAATTACAGATCTTTAAAATTTTGCATTTTATGCCATCACAAAGAAATGTTCTCCCGAAATAAAATAAAAGAAATCTGATCAAAGCTTAGGGTGAAACGTTTGTAGATGAACACAGGCTTATTTTTAAAGTAAAATTATTTTTAAAATGATGTTCCTTCTTGAAAAATCAGGGTAGTAGAGTCATAAAATGGTATTGCTAAAAATAATTGAGCAAATAAATTTTGCTTTCAGATGCAGTTCTCAGACTGTTATCTCATTAATTTATGTTTATGAAGTTCTCAGTCTTGTTTGTTTTCCTGTTTTGGGTAACTAATTATCTTCATTTATCTTTCTTCCTAGTTTTTCTAATTCTGTTATTTTTATAATTCATATATATGGGATAAAAATACTTTTGGAAGAATGTTCAATAGAAAATTAAAATAACTCTTTCTGATCTCCTTTGTATTGTATATGTTCTTTTTGCTCAGGGTTTTCTCCGTGGTGGAGCATGAGAAGAAAAACTAGGATTTTATATACTGAATGTTATCTGGACAGTACCTCCTGATTGCCCTGACACCCATTAGGGGGTTTGGCGGGAAGAGGGTGTGACCCGTAGCCACCTGGACCTGTTTCCCACGCTGTTAAAAGAGAGGCCCTAAACAGATGGTCTCTAAGGTCCCTTCTGCTGTGATGATCCTGTGAGTCTACTGTATGGGAGTTGTGCAGGCCAGGTGGTTAGAAGTACAAAGCCAAATTATTCATTTGTTTTAGATGTTTGGAGCCCTTGCTGATAGAGTTGGGACTGCGGACTAGATCCCCTGTGATCACTGGGCTTTGCGTGTTCTCTGAGAAGTATCAGCATTTAGTGATAGGGCCAGAGGATAAATTAAGCCAATACTACTAGTCAATCTCAAGTCCTGTAGAAAGAATTCAGAACACAGACCTACTTCTTAATTATACTCTCACTCTGAGAAGAAAGACTTCAAGAAAAAGGTTCCAATGAACGTCTGATTTGCCTGCATCATTCTACCCTCGCCAGTCTCAGAAAACAAGATATCTGAAACCAGGTGTGGTGGTGCAGGCCTGTAAGTCCAGCACTCTGGGATACTGAGGCAAGAAGACCCTCCCTGGGCAAGTTAGGGAATTAATGAGACTCTGTGTCAGTATAGGGGCTGGGGATGTAGCTCACTGTGAAGGCCCTGGGTTCAATCCCTTGTCACTTATACACACACACAGCCAGTGTATTCATACATGAATGTAATTTATGTGTATAACAGAGGCGTACTTAGTGAAAGAGTATAGTACTAGGGTTATTTTCCCCCTAGTGTATGATTTAAAGGAAAGACATTAACAGATCAGGGTTAAAACTGCTGTTGTTACTAGATGTGTTACTTGAGCAGGTTGAGCCTCAATTATCTGATCTATACCTAGAACAGTGCTAGGGACATTGTAGGCATTTAGTAAATATGAGCTCCTTTCTCGTCCTCACCATTATCACCACCACCTGCTCCTGTGATATGATGTCTGTAGAGTTCTGTCCTACTTCTGGCGTCTTTTTCATCTGTTCATTTAACAGTATTTACTGAGTGCCTACTATATGTAGGGTACTATATGGAAGGTATAGTGCTAGGCACCGGAGATGGAGAGAGTCACCCAGAGATGAATAATTATTCCAGACTGAATGCTGTGCAGGAAATGATCAGGATGCTGTGCTGGGGCGTCATAGTGAGGGACTTTGATGATGTAGTTAAGTGAGACATCTCTGAGAAAGTAATGGGGCGGGGAGGGCTGTTTTTTGAGACAGGGTGTCACCATGTAACCCAGGCAAGCCTCTAAATTGAGATCCTGCCTCGGCTTCCCAAGCGTTAGGACTCCCAAGTGTGTACCACAGCCGGTTTAGGAAATAATTTTTAGGCTGAGATCTGAAAGTTAGGAAGGAACAAGCTGCACAAAGCAGATTACAAGAAAGGGCCTTAGCATGTTCCAAAACTTGCAAGGGGGCCAGTATGAGTGGAATATAGTGAACAGAAAGGACAGGCCCAAGATGAGGTGGAAAGTACACAAGAGCTAGTTATATTGGAATTCGTTCATTAAGGCAAGACATTTGTGTTTCATCTCAACGCAGTGAGAAGTGGTTGAAGATATGGCTGTATGTGTTTGTTTTTCACTGATGCTGCAGGTCCACTTTACCATTGTATCCTAATTCTGGAACCCAGGCGGATAGGGTAGTCGTTATCTGGAACATCATGGCAGAGGAAGGGACAAAAGTGAAGTCATGTATCACTTTTGCTCCTATTTCATTGTCCAAAGAAAATCATATGCCCCATCTAACTGCAATGTACCTACCAGAAGGAGAGGATGGAGCTAGGAGTACGTGTGAGCAGAACCGAGGACCACCAGAGCAGCACCATATGCAGGGGACTGAAGGGGTTGCTATTGCTGTGGATGTGCAGATCCAAGAGGTTGGTGTCCTGCAGGAGTGTGGCTGTCAGTGGGGACAGAGATGGGAAAGTAGAAAGAGGTAGAGCTGGCAGAAGATGGTAGCTGGAGGCAAGGGCAAGAAGGACTCCGGGGACGCCAGTCACAAGGTGGGCCCTGACCTGGAAGTGGTGGATAAGCAGGGTTGGAGGGGGGCTGAATTAACTTCCTCTTTTGAACTTGTTAATTGAGACACCTGAGAGATTTCCAAACAGAGATATTAAGGGAACAGTGGGATTTCGAAGATGAGTTCAGAGGTGAGGTCAGCTTAGAGATACACATCTGGAAATCGTGAACATATGGGTTATAGTTAAGGTTACAAAATGCATATTACCTGGGGTGCAGGAAAGGAGGGTTGAGATAAATCCTGAAGTTCTTAGCTCATGAGAGATCAAGTAGAGGAGGAGCGGAGGGCCCAGAGAAGTGGAGGAGGCAAAACTTCACAGGACAACCCAAAACAGGGAAGGTCCGATTGCAGTGGAGCGGTCAAATAGGATCGTGTCTGAAAGTGTCTCCTGGACTAGGCCACTTGAAAGTCACTGGTGACCACTGCAAAAACAGTTTCAGTTCAGTAGTAAGGATGAAAGCTTACTAACGTTGTATGGATAACAAGAGCAGAAGAATTCCATTTGGCAATGACATGCACAATTCTAAGGAGTCGCAGGTACCAACAGACACTGAGTTCCAAGCTGGGTGATCTTGCACTGGACACAGTTCTAAGCCAGGTCATCTTACACTGCTGTTCTCACCATTTAGTCCCTGGCCACCCCACCCCTTGCACGCGTGCACGCGCGTGCGCGCGCGCACACACACACACACACACACACACACACGGAAAATTCCTCTTCATCCTTTAAGACCTACTCCAGTGTCTTCCAGAAAGCTGTCCCTGTTTGCCACAAAATAGGCCTAATCATTCCTCATGATCTATTTTGACACCCCCAGCACAGCCTCGGCTGGCTGTCCCCAAATGAATGAGTGAGACAAGCTAAAAACAGCTTCATATTCACCAGGGGCATTTCTGAGGGGGGGAACCTAGTAAGGAAACCGCTGAACCTGTTACAAAGACCATTTGCTTCCCAGATGATGAAAGAGCACAGATATTCTCCCTTATCCTAACTTACCCTGATCTTTCTTTGAAAATATTTAGCTTCATCATAACAGTCTTTCAACTTCAGGTGGAAGTAGTCTGAAATAGTAAGAGAAATCAGTTTATTAATGGATTTATTAACTTCTAAACAACAAACTGGCCTATTGGGATTTTTGTGCATTAAAATCATCAGTCATGTTGGTCTGGCTGCCAGATGAATTCACACTCTCAGATCCCTACAGTCCTTGCCGAGTGTGCGGAGGAACAGAAATGTCAAGCATGGCTGGGAAGCAGAGTGTGAGGAGAGTTGCTGAGCCACCGCCTGAAGGCTCCTGGATCAGGACTTGATTAGGTCCTGTCACTGCCTCATGTAACCTTTGTTAGGGGAAGGCATTCAGGCCTCACTAGGCTTTAGTTTCTTCGTTTGATTCTAAGGAGGATCCTTACATTTTGGGGGAGGGGGGGGGAATCTCTCATTAGACCGGAAGCACCTTGACTATAGAAATTACTCCAGTGTTTGATGCATTGTCCACCAGAATGAGCTCAATAGCTGTTCTGTGGATGAATGGAGGCTAGACAATGATCATTAAAGTTCTTTTTAGATTGCAAAATATTTTGTAAAAGGCTCAGTCACATACATATATCTTTCCATCTATAGTATGTCATTTCAGGGAAAAAAATTGAAAATTAAAGCCTGCAGCTAACAGTTTTATCTCCTGAAACTTTAGCAGTTTTAGAAAATAATACAGAGCAGGATGGTATGAGGCCCATCGATGGTCCTAGCTGTGGCACTTAAACAGCCTTGGGAACTGAGCTAATAATAACAGGTTCTAAGCCTGTGTCTCCCCCTACCAGAAGGGAATAATGGTGCCTACCTTGTTAGTGGTTGTGAGGATTGGCCATTATAGCTGTAAAATGTCTAGCACACAGTGGGTACTCAGTAGGTGGTGCCTGAGGTTATCTGAGAAACTTTCACATAAATCATTAATGGGAACATTCTGAGACAGTCCTTTGGGTTCAGATAATCAGCTAGCTTCAGGATCGAGGACAAGATACTTTGATTGTATCCCTCTATTTTCCTTAAGACCCATTAAAAATTAATAGTTTTTGCAACTAAATGAATGTATATAGAATTATTTAGTATGTCTTTGAGAAGAAGGTGTGTGTTTTGGCCAAAGATTACAGTTCTAGCTGCCTGTGCTGTGATTGCTTCTTGAACATGAGAAGTTGCTTGATATTATTGACTAAAAAAAGAAAGATGATCAGCCTGGTTGTACCTCTGGGTAATTACTCTGGGATTGAGTTTGTTTAGAAACTACACTGATATGAATTAGGAATTTGTACTAAATGGCTGATGAGGGGCCTGAAAGATTTATGTGCTATCAGAACTACAGCCAAGTCTGGCCAAATTTTAGAGTTTTTCTCAACAGTGAGTTACAAAATCTTCTGGAAAGGTTCATATTAGATCTATCTGGAGACTGCTGCAAACAAACAGCTCTTTCGTTCTTGCTAAGAACAAAGAATATTGGGCCAAATTTCTGGCTCTTAAGAAATGTGGCGTCTGGTTCCATTTGGCTGGAAGTTTAACTTGTATGGAATTTTAGCCAGATTTCTTAAAGAAATATTTTTTAAAAAAATATATTCACAACTTACTGCAAAAGTGATGTCTGTTTATTCTATTAATAGTCCTTCAGATACTTCATAAATATTCACAGTGCTGTTTCCAGCAGCATGTAGGAAGCTCTTGACCTTTTAGTTGCTCTATTTGTGGCCATCAACTCTTGTGTAGAATTGGGGAAAATTAGTTTTAATCTGCTATTTATTTAAATACAGAGAAGTAGTAAGTACTTATTTTCTAACCAACTACTTAACAATGATGTCTTTTTTTTCTGCAAGTTATTGTGTAATTTACCTTTTGGAATATGGCACCTTCCATAGTGTGCAAAACACTCTCTGTTCAAGATTAGAGACTTCATTAGGACAGAAAGAAAGAGCAAAGAATTTTGACCATGAAGACACCATAGTCTAAGAGAATGGTTTGCTGAGGCAGGCTGAAAGAAGGCTTCAGCTTGGTAAAACAATACCCACAGGCAGAATGTGATATCAGTTCACAAATATTTGGGAGATGGAAGACAGACAGGGGGAGGAATTATTTTGCTTAGTTATTAGAAGTAAAGAGAAATTTCCGGCTGAAACTCAGTTGAATGTCTTGACAATAAAAACTAGCATGGAGTGTCCCGCTCCCAGGACAGAGATGTTCCTAAATGCAGCTGACAGAAACAGGATTTCATTGCAAGAGATGGACCTTAACAGTGGGTACAAGATCAGCTAAACAGGAGAAATCAAAAGGGAATAGCCGCGGCTAGGCATTTAGCTCAGTGCTTTCACCACCTGCTGCGCAAGTGCAAGGACCCGAGTTTGATCCCCGGTACCAAAAAAAAAAGTGAATAGCCACACTTGATTTCTCCTTTTAGTATTTTTTTCTTCTGTGCGTCAAAAGGAAGACTTGATATCTTTTTATTTTCTTGTTTATACCTGGACTTGCTCATAACTTACTTTGGAAGAAACCAAGTGTGCAAAAGAAATGAGTGTTCAAAAGTATTCAAAAGAAGTGAGTATTCATTTATTCAAAATGAGTACTCAAAAGATTTCAAAGTGACTATTCAAACGTTTACCTAGTGTGAAAGCAGCCTGAGCTGAAGTTTTGTTTTTGTTTTGTTTTACTTCCTGTGTTGGTCCTTTTTTTCTGGTTAATGCTTATTTGGCTTAAGGTGGACTCCACAAGCTACAGATTAGTAGCTGCAGCCTAGGAGACTCCTGCTGGAAGTAGAACCAGAAGACCTGAGTTTGAATTCTGCCTCAAAAACTCATTAAATGTGTCCTCTGGGCAGGCTTTGCAACCTCCCTGAGCCCCAGTCTTCTAAAATAAGGCGCAATGATACCATCATGCTTAGGAGTCTGATTGGGTTCTACTGGTTTCTTTGCTGGAGTCTCACAAGGCTGAAGTCGAGCTATTGCTGCCCTGAGCTCCTCCCTGGAAACTCTAGGGGTGAATCCACTTCTGTGCTCCCTCAGGGTTTTGGCAGAGCTCGGTTCCATGCTGCCGTAGGACCAAATTCTCTGGGCTCTTACTGGAAGGCTGCAGGTGTTTCAGCTTCTAGAGCTGCCTCATGGGCCCTTCCTAGTGAAAGCTAGTCAAGTCCTTCTCACATTTCAAATCTCTCTGCCCTCCCCTCTGCTTCATCTCTCCTGTCTCCAGCCAAAAAACATCTGTTTTTAAAACTTGCATGATTAGATTAGGTCTAAAACCTTAGGCTGGGGATGTAGCTCAGTAGTACAGCACTTGCATAGCATGCATAAGGCCCTGCATTCCATTCCCAGCAGCAAAAAAAGAACCCATAACCTTAATAAAAAATATAAAAGTCCTTGTGTTATGTAACATGTCCACAGGTGTAAGGATTGCAGTGTGGACATGGGGGGCATTCCACTTATCATGGTGATATTTTTTAGGCCTGGAAAGGGGACCTCACAGAACATAAGATGAGGTTCTTGCCCTGGAGGGATCACAGTACAGCAGGGAGAGTCTAAGACAGGGTTTGTATGAGGTGTTATGGGAGGCCAGAAGACCTCCTGTGTGCCTGCCAGCCGGCGGTTTTTCCATCATTCTCTGCTTGCACCTTGAGTCTTGTCTTTCATCAGGGTCCTTCAGATGGAACCCAGACTCCAAACACTACCAAGAGATTGGATCAAGCCACTGCCATAGCTCAGTATTTAGGACTCTTAATAAGAAAGGTCTTGGGCCCTCAGCTCAAGGTAAAAGGAAGGAATCATTCTCTCCTTTGATGATACAGTATTACAGCTCATTATTCCCTTTCTCCTCTTTCTCATTATCAAACCCCTGTGAGAGAATTCTTGCTCTTCAATCCTAGCTCTCTCTCTACCATGTGTTTTCCTCCCTCCACTTTTTATTGGTTTTGTTTTGTTTTTTTGAGACAGGGTCTCACTATGTAGTCCAGGCTGGCCTTGAACTCATGGTGATCCTCCTACCTCAGCCTCCTGAGTACTGGGATTACAGGTGTGCGCCACTCTGCAAGGGCGGTCCCTCCCTCCTAAGTGTTCTGTTTCTAATTAGAAGGCACTACTTGTCCAGGGTAGTGCAGGGGTTCCTGTTTAATTCCTGCCACTTGTCATTTCCCTTTTAATGTTATCTGGATGTTTGGCTGGGTATGGGTGATAGTTTTGTAATTACAGCTGCCTTTTATTGAGCACTTACCATGGGTCAGGTGCTGAGCAGAGTCCTATACAGTACTTGCATTTTCCCACTAATGCAGATGTTTTGTCATGGGTAGGTACTATTTTTAATTTTCATTTGAACCTGGCTGATACTGAATTCAGATCTACACCCAAAGCTTGTACCTAACGCCACACACTACAGTAATGTCAGATGGGACTTGTCCGTGGGGGCCAGCGTGAAGGAGTTGGAGCAGCACAGGTGGATCCAGGAAGCCTAAACTCACAGCCCTTCTGAAAGTGAGAAACTTTCTTTTGTCTTAATTTTTTCACCAGACCCTGGGGGTGAGTCCTCCAGGGTGTGCTTCAGACAAGCAACGTAGCTCCTGTCTATGTCATCAGCTCGCACCAAGCAGGTGTGAGCCCTGGCGTGGCAGACCCTATTTCAGTGAGCGCACTAGGGAGTGGGCGTGTGGTGTGCCTCATGGCTGGCCCTTTACACACCCTGCCCCTTGCTGTTGTACCTTCCCTATGGGGTTGGGATGATAGGATGGGTTTTAGGACAGCGCCTGGCACTTTGAATGCACTTGGTATGTGCTGGTTCTCATTACCCTTGAAGAGTTTAGTTCCTGGCCATTCAAGCCAGTAGACTTGTTCTCTCAGTTGAACTTGAATCTGTGTTCAGGAGAAGACAGAAGATGTGTGTCTGTGTTGGTCCCTGTCCAATCCTCTGAATCATACCAGTGCTCATTAGTATGAACTCAGAACTGGGATTTGAGGACAAAGGCAAAATATTTCCCTTTTCTGCTCTCACTGAATTCCTGAGTTATGGGTGTAAAGGAAACAGAGTCGTGGGTTCAAACCCAGGCTCTACACTTGCCTGCTCAGACTTGCCTGTTCCCACCATGGGCAGGGCTGTACGGAAAGGTGGACTCAGTTCAGAACCCCTTTCTGAGGCTGTCTTGTTCCTTGGGAAATGGGGGAGGCAGCAGGCTTCTTTCACAGAGTTGTGAAAAGTACAGTGATGTATGTGATGCTTAGGAACAGGATGCCTTGGCGGCAGCCGCGACTAAAAAAGCAGGCGCTTTAAGGGAGCCACACATTCGTTCAGGGCCTTGGCAGTTTAGCTGAGCAAGAGGTATCACGTTTGGTTTATTTATCCTTCTCCCTCCCCAAGAATCAGGGGAGGCAGCGCTGGGTGCCCTGCCCACAGGCCAGAGCAGGTATGAAGGAGAGGCTTGTACCACCGTGGAGGTGCCAAGAACCACCTAAATCCAGCCCCGCCGCCTGCACCAGCGCAGCCCCTGGCGCCGAGCAGTGTTGCTTCAGCTGCTAGTACTTAAGGCTCCTTTGCTTGGAAACAGTTCAGCTCCCGGGAGCAATAAGGTACCGCGGGTTCACTGTTAGCCCCTGTCTTTGCGACTGGCATCTGCGTTCCCCCGACGCCCAGCCCAATTTACCATCTTTCAAGGGTCACCAGGTTGTGGGCCCAGGGCCAGCGGGTGGGGGCAGAGGGCGGGAGGAGAGCAGGGAGTTTTCCGGGAAGGGGCCCTGCAGGGTCTTGGCTGGCGGCCGCATTCATCACGGCCCAGGACCCCAAGGTGGGAGAAGAAAGGGAAGGTACTCGCGTCCGGACGGGGCGGCTGCGGGATGCTCAGGCCAGAGGAAGGAGCTGGGCTTGGAGACACTGGGCGGAAGAGGCCTCTCTCTCTGCTCCCCTTCAGGTGCGGGGCCTAGGCTGGTGCCGAAGGCTGGGGCGAGGCCTTCAGGTCTCAGTGGGGGCGCGGTGCGCCCGGCCCGCCGGGGCGGAGAGGAGCGGGTGGGCGGCCGGCCTCTCCGGGAAGTGGGGCCCGGCCGGCCCAGCCCAGCGCCAGAGGGTGCAGCCCCCCTCCCCGGCCCAGGGGAACCCTCGCCTGTGTCCAGAGGAGGCCGGCGTCCAGCAGATGCACGCGGGGGTGGCGGGCGGGGGAGAGGCGGGGAGGAGAAAACTCACAGCACAGCTGCCTCAGCGAGCGGCGCCCGGCTGACTTGAATGGCAGGAGCCCGCGCCCGCGGAGCGCAGCCGAGACTCCGGGCAGCGGCTTCGGCCTGTGGGGCGCAGCGCGGCACCGGGCGCAGCAGGTACGGGGCGCGGGCGGCGAAGTGGGCGAGGGGCCGGGGCCGCCGACCCTTCCCGCCTCCTTCGGACGGCCCGGGAGCTGCCCGGGCGGAGCCCCGCGTCTCGACCCTGCACCGAGGGCGCGGCGGGAGATGTCCTCTCGGGATACCACCCCGGTACCGGGAAGACCCCCGCAGAGTCCCTTCCGCCTCCCTGGCCAGAGTCTGGTCCCAGCCCCCAGGGCGCCCTCCCCGGACGTGCACATCTGGGAAGAATCTGAGCAGATTGGGGGCCGAGTGGAGGGGTGCGGGCTGGCGGCTGGAAAGGTGGGGGTAGGTGGAGCTGGGGAGGGGCGTGGACCCCTCTACTTAGACCCCAGGCCGAGTATCTCCGCGTTTTTCCGCATCAGTTCATTAGGGACCCCAGCGAGTCCAACCTCCGGTCTCTTTACAGACGGGGAGACTGAGGCCCCGGGAGGGGCAGGGACCCCGCCAGGGCGCGTGGGCAGGTGAGAGCACTCCGCGTCCGCCTCCGAGTCTGCTCCAGGCCAGGGCCGCCCCAACCCAGCGCTCAGCTGGCGGCCTGGAGTCCTTCTGTCTGCCTAGGTGGCTGCTTCCCGGCCGGGATAGCAGCACGGAGGGACGGGGAGGGCAAGAGGAGAGATCTTGCCCTCCCGCTAAAGTAGTGGAAGCCCCAGGTTGTGGGTTCCCAAACCACCAGCCTGGCCTGGGGTGGGGGCAGGGGCAGGGCGGGATCCTGGCGTTGGGACACCTGAGGCGCTGTCAGGTGGAAGAGGGCTGGGGCTGGGAGGCCGCTGGAGAGAAGCAGCTGGCGAGACAGGAGCCAACCTGAGCGTCTGTGGAAGGTGAGGCTGAGGTCTGTCGAGCTCCAGGAGGTGTGAACTGTGAGAGCCCGAGCGCCCTGTCCCTCAACCCCTTCTAAGGAAACCTTGGGGTCTGGGAAGTCAGGAGGGGCCGGGCTTGCTCCCTGGGCTCTCAGCTCTCCCGGGCAGAAGGGCCAACCACTCAGACGAACCCCAGCCAGTGACTGCTCTGGGGATTCTGGCCCCTCGGTCAGTTCTTTGGGTTCAGGGCCCAGTCTGCTTCTAGCCTAGAGTGCAAGTTAAGAAGTATCAGATTCACATGACTGTTTTCACATACTCTTGTGAGAGGATGGTTTGTCCCTGCTGTATGAGTCTTGGGTAGGTGTTGCTAATGGTAGCACCTATAGGCCTTCAGCTCAGGTCGTACATACGTGCTCAGAGCCCTTGATGGCTCCCTATCACCAACACTTATGCACAGCGCCTGATGCCCTTGGCAAACTGTGCCTGCAGCTCCACCCTCTATTCCTGATTTTGCCTCCTTAAACACACTTCCCTCCCTCCTCGTCCGTCTCCTCTGAGGCATTTGCTTGTGCCTGTCCTCCCCTTCGTCCCCTTGGAGGTCTGCACAGCCTTCAAGACTAGCTCAAGGCTCTGGGCAAAAGACAAATCTGAGGAGTGAGGACAGATACAAGTGTACACATTTTCCAACTCTGCCTTTCACAGATTCATTCAGTAAACATGTCTTGAGTTCCCACTCCATGCCTGGGAGTTAGGGGAGGCTCTGTGGAGCCCTGAAAGATGCAGCAGGGTGTGGAGTTCCGTGGGAGCACCAAGGAGCACCATACTCCAGCTGAAGGAGCAGGAGAGGCTCCCCGGAGCAGGGGTGTCTGAGGAGATTACCAGGGAAGGGCAGCTGGGAGGGGGGCTTTACACTTGTGTCCTGAACCTACAAAGTGGGAAGACAGACTTTTAATCCTGGGGTTTCTCTTGGCATCACAAGATGTAGCAATGTGTGGCCTAACCCAAGGAGGGCGTCAGTGAATTTTTCCTGAACTCGAGTGGGGGAGGAAAGTGGAGCTAGGGGCTAAGGGTCTGCCTCTCAATTCAAGTTTCCCTTCCTTCTTCCAGTCCTTCCCTAACCCCCCACGGAGGGGCTTGGGGTTTGCTTGGCAGCGTGTCTGAGTGACTTTCGCAGTAACGGTAAACCTCAGTATGGCACTCCTACTTTTTGCCAGCACTGGGCTGGGCCAGCTTTTCATTTAATCCTTGTAAGGAGTGCCCCTTTCCATTCCTAACTGGTGAGCAGAGGCTCCGGGAAGTGAAGCGACTGCTCCAGGCTCATACAGCAGTCAGGATTGGAAATCATGTCCTCCTGTCTCTATAGCTCTGCACCTGAGGGAAAGCTTACTGCAGGCTCAGCTGGCCTCTGTCCCAAGGGCTTGTATTGTCCTCACCCGGTAGACTTAAAGCTCCTGGAGACCAGGGATCTGCTTGTCTGCTGTTTTCCCCACACACTTCCTACGTGTCTGTCACTCAGAAGGGGTCTCGGGAGCTTGTCTTGCTCAGCAGTTTTAGGAGAGCAAAGGGAAAATGGAGAGATGGGGCAGTGGTGTGGCCAAGGTTACACAGCGAGCCACGTGGTAGAGCTGGGGCTGCCTGGGCTCTGTGCTTCCCATGTTTGGGAAGGCTGGGGAGGAGGGGGAGGGGAAAGGGAAGAGGGGAAAGGAAAAATGATGAGAAAAGGAAAAAATGGAAGCAAAGTCTTTGTAAATAGGGAAGGGGGGAGGGGGAGAAGGGCACACAGGGAATGGGGGAAAAAGAAGAACCAAGATGCATCGTGTACAGGGACAGGCACCCAATGATAAATGTGAACGAATTGTATACCGAAAATGTACCAATAAAGGAATTTAAGCAAAAAAAAAAAAAAAAAAAAAAAGCTGGGGAATAGGAGGAGCCCCTGGGGCTACCACTCTCCCACCACTCCCTGAAATCTAGTCCCGCCTCTCCATCCCTGCAGCCAGCACCTCTCTCTCTGCCTGGAGCAGGGTCTTTATTCCTCGCCCTTGCATGAATTGCACAGCCTTGCAGGCCACCCCTGCCGAGCCTGCCTGTTACACTCATGTTTTCCAGGGACTTCTCATCTTCCTGAGACAAGGCTGACACTCTGGCCTTGTGGGGCCTGGGCTTGTGGCTGCTGTGTCTGCTCTTATCATTCCCAGTACCCACATGCCACCAGCCAGTCTGGTGAGCTTCCTAGAGTTCGCAACATGGGCTCTCTTGCCCTCAAGCTGCACACTCTGACACCCCGTTATCAGAATCTCCTGGGCACAGGTACTTCAGGATCTTGTAAGTCCCAGGTCACACCTACTTCCCCAGCCAGCTTTGCTGAGCCCTATCTCCTGTGTCACCCCAGCTTCTATTACCCTTCTCCTTCTGCCAAGGCCCAGCCTCCAGGAGGGCTAGACCAGCCCTCAGCTCTTCTGAGAAGTCTTCTCTGGCAAGATGAGGCGGCCTCCAGGTCCTCAGCTTCCCTCCATTATAGCTCTGAGGACCCTGAGATTATCAGGCTCAGTTTACACATAATGCTATAGATGAGGACCATCTAACAGAAGTCTAATGTGAGCTACAGATGCAATGTAAACTTTTCTAGAAGTCACATTTAAAAGAGTAAAATGAAACAGGTTAATTTAATTTTGTTTAACCCAGTATATCTACTGCATTATCCAGTAATCATAAAAATAAATGAAAATTGTTGTATCATTAATATTAATGAGGTATTTTATATTCTTTTTTGTACCATGTCTTTGAAATCCATAAACACGGCAGTTTATACTTACAGCACACCTCAGTTGGAGCTTGTCACTTCAGTTGCTCTCTAGCCACGTGTGGCGAGTGACTACCAGAGTGAGCAGTGTGGCTGTGACCCTCTTAAGGCCGGGAGCCCATCTGTGCCCCCAGACCCCATCCATGCTCAGCCCAGGCAAGAGCAGGATAGGATGGTGCTGAAGACCTGGGCTGGAGCTCAGCTTGGCCATTCAAGAGCAGTGACACTGGCTGATGCTCCCTGATCTGTAACGTGGTGATAAACACAGCTTCAATATAGTTCAGAATGTTAATATAAATTAAATATTTGTACAGATGCAGTTTACAGATCCAAACTGAAGACGAGAGAGGAAGACCAGCCTGTCTAGTAAGTGCACAGGATAGGAGGGGACCTGAACTCCTTCCCCAGATCCTTCTCCGCAGCCTCCTGCCCTGAGAGAATCTGGAACCTGGACCTGTGCCTACCTCTGTTGCAGTGGGGACAGGGAGGGGAGAGGCTTGCTGTGGTCTAAGGCTGGCAGCTCCGGGGTTAAGGCTAGAGAGACAGCTGTAGGCTTTGTAATGTGCTGGGGTAGTGATGGTCTGCAGACTGGCATTTGGTAAGCGCCCTGGGGCAGCACAGGTGTGGCCGGTGGGTGTCATTTACTGCTGCTGCCTGACCTCTGGAGCCCAGGAGCTGTCTGCCAGGGGGCTGGGGCGCAAGTCTGCTTAGGCCAGGTGGACCTGTCGGGTCAAGGAGGCCTGGCTGCCACCCCTCTTCTTCTCATACCTTTTCCTTCTTGGACCTCATCCTCCTAGGGACCCCTTTACACTGCTACCCAGGTCTGGGTGGGCAGTGGTTATTGGTACTGGGGTGTGCTGTCCCCTCCAGAAAGAAGGCATGGCAGTTATCTCACAGCACAGGCCTGGGTACAGACAGGGCTGCACTTCGGAGACTTGGCTGACTCTTGAGGAAGAGGAAGCAGTATCTGAAATACTGCAGCAGCCCCCAGGGCTGGAGGAGCCCACAGGCGGCCAGTATGTATCTCTGGGACCAGCTGGGCCCAAGCTGCAAAGCCCAAGTGGGGTCTGGGCAAGGGAAGGGGGAGAAGCAGGGACTCTGGAGTGGGGGATAGTATGGTCAGGAAGTAGAAGATGTTTACTGAGCATTCAGTGTGTGAGCGTAGCATCTCACTGAGTCCATGCCTCCCCCTGAGGACAGTTCTGTTAGCATCCCAAGGGCAGATGAGAACCTGAGATTAGGACTGTTTCAAAACTTTCCCTGAGTCACACAGCTGCTGAGAGCCAGTGAGATCACAGCCCTGGCCATGTGGCTTCAGGGCACATCCTCTTGACCGGACAGCAGCGTCTTGTCAAGCTGTTTCCCAAACCTGCCTAGGCCCAGGCTCTGGTCAGACCCTTCTACACGCTCTGTGGGTTGTGGTTCCCTAGCTAGTGGGGACCATGTGCTCTGCTCCCCAGTGGACACCCTTGAGGCCCCCCACTTCCCACCCTGCAACTGGAGTACTAATGTGCAGTCACTACAATAGCCATGGCGGGTCCTTGTCGCCTAGTGAGTGCTGCCGGGTGCTTTGAGCCTGGTGCCTTACTGACTTCTCATAGGGCTGTGAGTTTAGACGGAGCGTCTGCATGCAGATGGGGAAGCTGGGGTTCAGCATCAGAGCCACCAAGTGGTGGAGGTGGGACTCAAATAGGGCTGTGGGACCCCAGAGTCAGGGCTCCTGACCACTACCTGTCATGACTCACCACGCCCCAGAGACACTGTCTTTGAGGCCCTGAACAAGAACTTAGGCCCCCATCCCTGAGCCAAGCCCAGGTCCATGGGGCTGCTGGGACAATGTCACTCCCGCATCTTCCTCAGGCAACACCCCTTCCTGCTATACCTGGGGACCATGCTGGGGCGTGGCCTCCTGCAGGTGGCAGCTGACATGTGAACACATTAGGTCCCAGGGAGGGCAGCTGAGCATGTGAACACCAGGAATGGGATGTGGGAGGTCACGGGGGCTCCTGTACCAGGTCTGTGCTTGGCCTATGTCCAGACACCGAAAGCTGCTCACAGCCCTGTGTGTGAATGACACCCTTGAGCATTCATAGTTCAACTAACGCTGAGCCCTGAGTCATCTCAGAACCTTTCGTATGTCATACCCTGGAGATGGTTCCCAGAAAAGACGTTGCTGATTGCACAAGAGAGTGGAAGGAGGCAGAAGGAGCAGCCTGTGTGGGGCATGGAGGGAAGACCCACATGGGCATGGGATGGCTGGGAGAGGACAGCTGGCAGTCTGCGGGTCCCAGAAGGGCAAGCTGAAGTGCTGAGACACACCCACTGGCCTGACCCTCCCTGGTTTGTGGCTGCTGGAGGAGGGACAAGGGCTCCCTGCACTGCCTGTACCAGGGGGCAGGAGCTCAGCCAAGTCCAGGTCCTGGCTCATCTTCCCCTTCTGTGAAATGGGGGTATGGACTCCATGGGAGCCAGCCTGGTGAGAGCTATGGAAGTGCAGACCTGCCTAAAGAGTAGGTTTCACCCCACCCCAACGTCCAGAGGGCAGTCCTGGTAGGGGCCCAGGGGGAGAGAAGTCAGCAGGCCAGCAGGGTGCCAAGGGCGGGGTCCAGCGTGTGTGCTGCCTATGCCCCAGAGGGCTCCATCATGACTTTTGAGGGCCCTAGCCATGTGCCCAGTGTTCCTAACAAGTTGGCCCCGGTGCCAGGGGGACCTGACTGGACCCTTCTGCAGGCACCATGGCCCAGAGCAGAGCACTGCTGCTGCTCTTGCTGCTGCCGCCGCAGCTGCACCTGGGACCTGTGATGGCTGTGAGGCCCCTGGGGTTTGGCCGGAGTGGTGCCCACAGCCCAAGCCCTGAGGAGAACGAGTTTGTGGAGGAGGAGCCTGTGCTGGTCCTGAGCCCCGAGGAGCCAAGGCCTGGCCCTGCCACCATTGACTGCCCCCGGGACTGTGCCTGCTCCCAGGAAGGGGTTGTGGACTGTGGAGGCATCGACCTGCGTGAGTTCCCAGGGGACCTACCTGAGCACACCAATCACCTGTCCCTGCAGGTGAGGCTGATGTTGCACCAGCGGTCACCGGGGGCTGCTCCCTGCCCTCATGGCTCCCCTCCCAGATCCCCTCCCTGTTCACCCAGAGCCTCCAGGTCTTGTGGCCCCTCAGCCCCATTCCAGGGTGCTGAATAGGTCTGATTCGTGGTGTCCTGGCCACCCAAGTGACAGCCTGCTTGATGTCTGGCCACAGAGCACTGAGACAATGTGGTCTGCTTATTCACTGAGACGGCTCTGGGCTCTGTCTCCTGGTGGACACGTAAGGGACCTGCAGGCAGCTGTCCCTCTCTCTGAACAGACAGGGTCCAGGGCCAGGAAAATCAGAGCCAAATGACCGGCTCAAGTACTCAGAGGCTTCGAGCAGAGAACCCTCCCCTTGAGAAGTGGGCTTGGCCTCCCAGACTGGGTGGGCTCTGGGGCACCCAGGATGGGCCGCCGTACCCTTTCAGAGGAGGTCAGGTCCAGTGACCCTCCAAGGCTCACACGACACTAGCTATGAACCTGGGCTAGGTTGGCCCATGTGAGGAAGGGACAAACTGAGGACAGCTCTGATGAAGTTCATCTGCCCACTTACTCATACACAGCCTGTCTCTTGGACACCTGCCCGATGCCTCTGGTCTTATGTGGGGTGCTGAGCACTTAGGAAGGACTTGGACATACCCTGCCTATCAGGTGCTTCCAGTCTGTGGGTATCCAGGTGTGGGGTCCTTGAAGGTAGGACTTACATCTTTGTGGCCACTGCTGTGCCCCAGGTATCCAGGGCCTGACTGTCATGGAGGAGAATCCCAAGGCAGGTACCCAAGACAGGGACAAGTGCCTAGGATGGGTGCTGAGGGTAGATGCATCCTTCCTCCTCCTGCTGATGCTGCTTCCTCATTGCTCTAGAACAATCAGCTGGAGAAGATCTACCCTGAGGAACTCTCCCGGCTGCAGTGGTTGGAGACTCTGAACCTCCAGAACAACCGCCTGACCTCCCGAGGTGAGGGGTCACCAGAGTCAGGGGACACCAGGTAGAGGCTCGGGGTCCTGAGTGGTGCTAGGCACCCAAGGGGTCATATTGGCTCTGTAGATGCTGGACTGTGGGAAAGCGGCTGGCCTGGACTAGGCTGGCCATGGAGCTGTACAAAGACTGGCTCTACACGCAGCAGGGTTCCCTGAGGCTACCCAGAGCCACCCCTGGGCATCCCCAGACCTTCTCATAGACTGTTCAGTTCACAGGGCCTTTAGATTCAGACAGCTGGAGGCTTCAAACTTAAATTTTTTTCTGATAGCAAAAATAGTATATTATTAAGATAGAAAATTAGGCAAATTAAATGGAAAGAAAAAACTCATAATGTTGTCACATTGAATTAATCAGTGTGGGCATTTTCATGTATTTCTTTCCATGTTTTAGAAAAAGCAGCTTTACTGAGGTATAACTTATACTGTAACATTTGCTCAACTTATATTACGATTTGATGAGTTCTAGTAAGTTTATGCAGTTATATAATCACCATCGAGACAGTTCAACCCAGTCATTTTTTCTTAGCAGTTTTTTAACTTCACAGCTGAACTCATTCACAGACAGATAACCTTCATGGTTTCACTAAATAGTTCACTCATAGCGCCTCTCATGTTGCGAAAGCCCTCTCTGGCTGTCATTTTACACCCTGCAGCAGGGTAGCCAATGTAGCATCGCTCCATGGTTTATGTAACTGTTCCTGCTCCTTAGAAACTTGGGTGGGCCCCAGCATCTAGGGGACCAGGAGCCCAGAACTGAGTGTCAGAGGCCACCTCATCTCTGGGAAGGGCCCAGTCTGGCTGGGCTCCTGGTCATGTGACATCCATCAGAAGGGGCAAGACAGAGTCAGGTGGTGAGGAGACCCAGCTCGGCCCCACTGGCCTGTGGTTGGGGCTGGGGTGAGGAGGAGCTCTGACCCCAGTGGCAACTCTCAGGGGAGCACTCCTTCCGGGCTAAAGGGTCAGGCGAGGTTGCTCAGTCCCTCAGCAGACATTTAACTGCTTGAGCATGTGCTTGGGCCACGTGAGCAATGAGAAGGAATGCAGGGCTGGACAGGGCCATCTGGACCAACCGGGAAGGGGTTCCAGCTGCCCCTGCCTGCTTCTCTAGCAATGAGGTGGGTGTGAGGGTGGGGTGCCTCTTGTGCTCCCCTGTAGCATCTCCTTCATCCAGGGCTCTGACCTGTCCTTTGAAGGGCTCCCCGAGGAGGCGTTTGAGCACCTGACCAACCTCAATTACCTGTACCTGGCCAATAACAAGGTGAGGGCTGCAGAAGGTGGAGTGTGCTGCTCTGTCCCCCTGGCACTGTCTTCCTGGGAATTTTGTGACCTTTTACCAGCTGTTTCTGGTCTGTCAGGTCCTTGTTGCTGCTCAGACATGATCCTAGAAGATGGGGAAGAAACCATAGACTTCACCCCTGTAACCCAGGGAGATGGAAGCCAAGTCCTTCTGTAGCATCGGGGAGGGAGAGCTTGACCCACTGGGAGGGGGCACTGGGAGGGCTTCTTGGAGGAGATGGCATGTGGGCAAGGCAATGAAGTCAAATTCTAGCCAGGGGCCCCGCGGAGGGCACTGCAATAGAAAGGACAGGTGCCAGGCTCAATGGCATGGTCTGTTGTCCCAACACTTGGGAGGCTGAAGGCAGAGGATTACTTGACTCTAGGAATTTAAGACCAGCCTGGGCAACAGAGCAAGACCTTGTCATGAATGAATGAATGAATGAATGAACAAGGGACAGCAGAGTGAAGCATAAAAGCACCTAGGCTCAAAATATTTAGTGTATCCCAGAGCCCTATCCCAGCCCCTATGTCTCTGAATGCCCCCAAATTCCTGCCAGGCTTCGAGCCAGTGTGTGCCATGGCCATGTCTGAGGCAGTCTCTAGCCCCATCCATTCCTCGGGCTGAGATGAAAAGGTCCGCCTGCCTTCTTGACGTCGCCCCTAGGTATCTAGTGGAAGTGACGCTACTGCTTCCTGCCTGCAGCTCCCAAACCCCCCAGCTCCCCACCCTCGAGAAGGCCTCCTCCACCACCCACACTGCTTGTGTGAGCCACAGATCGGAAGTCTCCTGGACCCTGAGCCTCCTTCACCCATGTCCAGCCCCTCAGCTGCCCACAGGCTCAGGTCCACCACCCACCACCTCGTGCCCCTCTGCCTCACTTCCTTCTCCTTTCTCCTCGGGGCAGCCAGAGGGCAGCCCTGCTTCTACCTCTCTACTCCCCACCCCACCCCCGGTTGAGCCCAGGAAGATGGGTGGGGCACAACAGATGCAGAGGGCCTTGCCTGCCAAGCTAAGAGCTGGGGCAGCTGGAGACAGTTTGGCTCTATCAGCGAGTGGGACAGGCTTCCACTTCAGAAAGTTGGTCCTGGTTGCCAGAAAGAGAGAAGTAAAGGGGCGCAGATGAGCAGCCAGCAGCTGGCCTTTTTTCCTCATTGGTCTTCATGCTTGACTCTTCCCTTTCCAGCTGACGTTGGCACCTCGATTCCTGCCAAATGCCCTGATCAGCGTGGACTTTGCTGCCAATTATCTCACCAAGATCTATGGGCTCACCTTTGGTCAGAAGCCAAATTTGAGGTCAGAGGGATGGTCCTGGGCTTGGCAGGGGAGAAAAGGGAGGCTGAGGTAGGGCACAGACAGACCATGAGGAGGGGCTTGCTTTGCAGTGGGCCAACAAGGCCAAGGGTTGTGGTGCAGGGGCATCTGGACTCGGGAGGAGCTCAAGACTGTAGGGGGCTCACACCTAGATGTGAGAGGACTTAGACCAGGAGGTGGGAATGGAGAGCGTTTTGTGGGAATTGTGGGCAGGGGCTGGGGCTCCAGAGTACCCTCCACAGGCAGAACCGCCCTTCCCTGGTCCTGGTGTGGAGGGGCCTGGGCTGGGGGTCAGGAACGCCTCCTTCTGCCACTAGCTTGTGGGGTGACTTCTGGTCACTGGTCCCTGGGCTGTGGAGATGGCGTCTGAGGCTCTTTGACTCTGTCCTTGGGTTAAGATGGGAGGAGAGAGTCCTGGGCCCCAGTCCCAGCCTGAGCGGAGGTTTAAGCGCTCACTAGAAGCTGGCCCAGGGCTCGGGGGAGCCGAGATGTGTGTGAACCTGTGCCTCAACCTCAGGTCTGTGTACCTGCACAACAACAAGCTGGCGGATGCCGGGCTGCCGGACAGCATGTTCAATGGTTCCAGCAATGTCGAGATCCTCATCCTGTCCAGCAACTTCCTGCGCCACGTGCCCAAGCACCTGCCACCTGCCCTGTACAAGCTGCACCTCAAGGTGGGGAGGGGTGTAGCAGGGACAGAGCAGAGCAGACCCCAGGGCTGGGGCCCGAGGGTGGGGACCTGCAAAGGCAAGAAACCAGCCCACGCAGGTGCAGTGTTGCACGTGCCAGATCGAAAGCCCACTGTGGGGACACAGGAGACTGCGCACCAGGCTCCAAGTGTGAGCCCCTGTCTGGTGGCCCCAGGCCTTCCCACACCTCCCCCGAGGCCCTGCTCTTGCCGCTTGCCTCCTCACACTCTGCTCCCGACTTCTCCATCCCTAGAACAATAAGCTGGAGAAGATCCCACCTGGGGCCTTCAGTGAGCTGAGCAACCTGCGCGAGCTGTACCTACAGAACAACTACCTGACGGATCAGGGCTTGGACAATGAGACCTTCTGGTGGGTGGGTCCCGTCTCAGCACAGCCTCAGCGACACCATGGCATTGGCAAGCTCCTTCCAGGGCCTCCCCAGCCAGGCGTGGTCACGCAGCCCTCCCCACCTCCCCTGGCCGCTTTCCCTGGAGGAGAATCTTTGAGGTTCATGCTTTTGTTGCCATTTCTCGCTCCAGGAACAAGTGGTATGTCTAGGTAAAGGGCTACTGAGATGGCAGGGAGTCAGGTACTGCTGAAGGAGACTGGGTCCTGGGTACAAAATGCAAACGCAGCGTTCTTGCTGAGAGCAAATATGTTTTCATCTGGGGGAGCCCCAGACAGCCACAAAAGGCTGATGTTCAATGGTGGTCTTCAAATAAATTCCCATGAGTCAGAAATGAGGCAAAATCCTTCCTACACAAATGTATAAAGTATGATTGAAACTCGTTAATGTTCAAATTTGAAAAATATTACAATATAAGATACATTGTCATTAATCCCCCTCAAAATATCCCCCTCACTTTGAACCCACTTATCCCACGTTCTTGCCACTTTCTGAAGCTGTTCTGGAAGTCCTCTTTCTTGAGGGTCTTTAAATTGTGTTGTTGGCTGCCTCAATGTCCTGGATGGGTTCAAAAGGTTTGCCTTTTGTGGTCATTTTGACTTGGAGGAAGACCAGAAGTTGCATAGTGGATGAGCACTAATGTTTTCATGAGAGGGCCTTGCTGTTGGATGGCACCCGGAAGCAGCATCATTCACTGTAGTTTTGATCCTACTTCTTAAAGACACAAAAAAGGACTTCAAATTACTTTAGAAAGTGACAAGAATGATAGGATTAAGTTCGGGAGCAAGGGAGGGGTTGATGGCAATGTGCTTTTTACTGTAATAAAACTTTTATAATTTAAAATTCACCGTCTATTTTTACCACGTTGCATATCATTGAGTCAACCCAGAGGAAGGCTCTGGGAAGAGCTGGGTGATTTCAAGGGGTCCTCTACTATTTCCCTTGGGAATCATGGTAGGAACAGCAGTGGTGGGCTCTCCCCAGTGTCCTATTTCTCCCCTCCCCCAGGAAGCTCTCCAGCCTGGAGTACCTGGATCTGTCCAGCAACAACCTGTCACGGGTCCCTGTGGGGCTGCCACGCAGCCTAGTCCTGCTGCACCTGGAGAAGAACATCATCCAGCGGGTGGACGCCGATGTGCTGACCCCCATCCGCAGCCTGGAGTACCTGCTGCTGCACAGCAACCAGCTTCGGGCTGACGGCATCCACCCACTGGCCTTCCAGGGCCTCAAGCGGCTGCACACAGTGCACCTGTACAACAACGCACTGGAGCGCGTGCCCAGTGGCCTGCCCCGCCGTGTGCGCACCCTCATGATCTTGCATAACCAGATCACAGGCATCGGCCGTGAGGACTTTGCCACCACCTACTTCCTAGAGGAGCTCAACCTCAGCTACAACCGCATCACCAGCCCGCAGGTGCACCGTGACGCCTTCCGCAAGCTGCGCCTGTTGCGCTCGCTCGACCTGTCCGGCAACCGCCTGCACATTCTGCCCCCAGGGCTGCCCCGCAATGTGCATGTGCTGAAGGTCAAGCGCAATGAGCTGGCTGCCCTGGCGCGTGGGGCGCTGGCGGGCATGGCCCAGCTTCGAGAGCTCTACCTCACCAGCAACCACCTGTGGAGCCGTGCCCTGGCCCCCCGTGCTTGGTCAGACCTCGCCCACCTGCAGGTAAAGGCTAGCCTGGGATGCCACTGGTGTGGCTGCCCTGAGCCGGCCCATCTGCTGGGACCAGGTGAGGGCTGGGCCTTGGAGGAGGTTCCTCTGGTACAGCCAGGCTGGGCTCAGGGTGCAGCGAGGTGAGCCAGGCAGAGGGCATGGCTGTTGTGCCCGGGTAGCCCAGACCCCTGCAGACACAGGAGTGAAGGGAGAGTGTGGGAGTGTCTGACTGACATGGCCAGGCAGATGCAGGCTTGAGAAGGAGTGAGGAGATAAGAGGTCATAGCTGCAGGCAGGGGCCCATAGTTCAGGAGGACTGCAGGGCAGTTCAGGGGGCACAGAGAGTCAAGCTTATCCACCTGCAGGGACAGGTGCTTGAAGGCTAGGCCTTGGGGTAAAGGTTGGGGGATAGGCGGGGGCATGGCCTTGCCTCAAGTCGACAGAGGGCTGGGGGTTGAGCAGGGGTCTGTCCAAGGCATTCTGGAGCTGTTCAGGGAAGGCAGCTGCTGTGGCCGCGTGCTGAGTCAGGTAGGATATCTGGGCATGAGTCAAGCCTCCAGGTGACGAGTGAAACCTCCCCTCTCAGTAAGCATGGGTGAAGGGGAGTCCTTGGCCAGCTGGGATGGAGGGCAGAGGCCCTGCCCCTGACCTGCCACAGCCCTTCTGCTGCCGGGCCAGAGCCATCTTTCACAACAGAGCTAACACAGGGTCAGGCCCTCTGCATAGCTGCCCCCACCCCATCCTCAGAGCTTCCTCTTCTCTCTTTCTGAGGGTCTGCTCAATACCATCTCCTAGGGCAGTCTTCCTCTGCTTTTTTTTCTTCATAAGCCTTATTCCTGCAGGCTCAGGTCACCTCACTTGGTGTTGCCTGCCCCTCGGTCAGGACAGGCATGCTAGTCTCCTGTGTCTGTGGCTGTCCATGGCAGGTTCATGGTCACTGCATGTAGAGGGAGGACAGGAAGAGCCATCACCTCCACTGGAAGTGCTGTCAGGACTGGGACATCTGCATGGAGTGTGGGATGTGAGTGGGTGAGGCAGCTGGTCCTGCAGATTAGCTGAGGTCTCTCCTCATCCAAACAGCCTTGCTGAGACCAGGGTCCAGCTACCTATGGCACCTCAGGGTGTTCCTCAAGAGCCAGTTCTTGAGAGCCCAGAGCCCGCTGTTTTCTCCTCCACACCTGCCCGTCCTGCTGGATTTTCTAGTTCACTGAAGGGACAGGGTGGCATCCGGGGAAACCTGGAAGCTGCCTTTTCACCTCTACCTGCCTCCAGTGGCCCCTCAGCACCTGACCCACTGTACTGCCTTCACACTTCTTATTCTGTCTACTTCTCTCTAGCCTGTTTCCAGGCCCCAGACCAAGCCACCCATTTCTTGCCCAGCTTCCTAGGAGCTTGTCACCGTGGTAGTCCATATACCAGCAAGAAAATCTTTAACAACCACATACCCTTTCATGTTCCTTATCCCCACTGCCATGGCTGTCAGGGCCTGCTCTGCCAGCTGCAAGTGCACCAGGCCCTTCTGCTGGAGGCCCCTCACCTTTGCTCGCAGGAGACGCCTGCCCCTTCACTCCATGATTCTGGACCCAGCCCCCACCATGTTCCAGACACAGCTCCAAGAGTGGGAAGCCCATGGGGAGTTAGATGGAAGCCCTCTACCCTGCTAGACGTATACCTAGGACACAACTTGGTTGTCACTTTTCTCTCTACCAACAATGGGCAGAGAGAATGGGGGAGTTCAGCTGGGAATGCCTGGCAAGATGAAGAGAGTCTTCCTCCTACAGAGAGGTGGAGCCGTGTCTCAGTGGAGCCCACGTCCCCTGCACCGAGGGCCACTGAGGACATTTGGGATGCAGGAGGAAGTGCTAACATGGAGAAACATGAAGGGCACCGTGTGCTCTGGGACGCGGGACAGCAGGGAGCCCTGAGCTAGGAGGAGGTTACAGAGAGGCTCCCTAAAGTGCATGAACCTGTGCTCCCCTTCAGTCCCGAGGCCATCTTGCCCAGCTTCCTGATCCTGACTCCCAGCCTCTCAGGGTTGGGAAGGGAGCTTGGGGACCACAGGGCTGTGTCCACCCAGTCCCATGTGTGTTCTGCTTCTGTGAAGCCCAGCCCATTCCCTGGTTGATGGTTCCTGGACTCCAGACACATGATAGCTCCGAGCTGACCACCTCGGGGTCTGGCCATTGTGCCAGGGTCACCGCAGGCCTCGTGTCCTCACACGGGCCTTGCACATGTGGCCTTTGAGGTCAGTAGGTGAGCAGTGCCCCCGTGCAGTTCTTTCCACCCCCACCCAGGTTTGATGGGACAAGATTCAAAGGCTGGATGATCCCCAGCCTCTGACTTGTATTAGGCCTTAGTCTGATGAGAGTGACAGATGTATTAAGAAGGCCAGGACTGTGATGCCCAAACATCTTGGCTATGACTTTATATGTGAAGGCACAAGGGTATGGGTAGGACCTATGTCAGTCATAATAAGTGTTTGGATTCAGGCACACCAGGTTCCAGCCTCTTACAGGCTGTGTGGCCTTGGGTGAATCACTGAGTGTCTCTGAGCTTCAGTTTCGCCATGTGGAAAATGGAGATCGTTTAGACAGACCCCTCTCCTCAGCAGGGTTATATGGTTTAGATTGGCTGGGGCCTTGGCGGGAGTTTTGTAAGCTGTTGAGTGCTTTGCACAGGTGGGAGTCCCTGACTCCCTTGGTCACCTCTGCAGCTGCTGGACATCGCTGGGAATCAGCTCACAGAGATCCCCGAAGGGCTCCCTGAGTCGCTCGAGTACTTGTATCTGCAGAACAACAAGATTAGCACCGTGCCCGCCAATGCCTTTGACTCCACACCCAACCTCAAGGGGATCTTTCTCAGGTAGGAAGCCCCCCATGGCCCCCCATGCACCCCTCTGGGTGTCCAGCTCCAGCAGGTCAGTTGAGGCCCACGGGAAGAGCTTGCAGGCAGAGGTCAGTGCATGCAGCCTGCTCTATTGCTGAGTGGCTATGGACCTTGCGACAGTCAGAACACACCAGGTACTGCTGTCTCAGCCTTCAAACATGGGCACAGCCCTGGCCAGGCTGATATAGTTTGTAGGTTTGTAAACGAGCCTCAGCCTCGGTAACTTTAAAAAGCAGTGCACTTGGGTATTATTGATGTTAATGTGGCAGGGAGGGACCTCAGAGATCATCTTTCCCATTTATAGCTGGGAGAGCTAAGGCCCAGAGAGCATGGATGGGGGGAGGTTGGGGGTTTGGAATGATTCAGAGGACCCAGCTCCTGGAGGATATGGGCACTTCCGTTAGAGCCAGCATGGTTCTTTCCAACACTGCCCGTACCCCCCAAATTAGCAGACAGAACAACACAGCAGAAGGCCCAGTGCTTGGGAACACTGGGTGGTGTGACATGTCCTCAGGCCTCTGGAGGGCGCCTGAGACCAGAGCTATGGCCTCTGCCATCCCTCACCTGAGTGTGCTCCCCACCCGGCTCAGCTGTGGCCCTGCCTGGGTGCCAGCCCAGACTTTGGAGCTGGCACCTGAGAGTGGGCAGAGAAGAGGCTCCCACAATGGCCAGTGAGAATGTGCGCAGAGAGAGACTTCCTCTCGCTTTGTGGATGGCCGGCCCGGTACCCTTTCCCGCTCCTGAGCTGCTGTCACTACCCTGAACAACTCACGCTTGCCACCTTGCACCACACTCCTGAACCCAGCCTTTTCATCTCGCTGTGTCACCCCAGCGGGCTGGCTTCCTCCTGTTACCTTCCAAGGTCAGTGGGTGTGGGACCCCGGGGCTGGGCTCCTGCATTGACCCCGGTTGTATGCTACCCAGGTTTAACAAGCTGGCCGTGGGCTCTGTGGTTGAAAGTGCCTTCCGGAGGCTGAAGCACCTGCAGGTCTTGGACATTGAAGGAAACATTGAATTTGGTGATACTTCCAAGGGCCGTGGCCACTTGGAGAAAGAAGAGGAGGAGGAGGAAGAGGAAGAGGAGGAAGATGAGGAGGAAACAAGATAGTGACAAGGTGACAGATCTGACCTAGGTGGGTGGTCTGTGTGGGGACGGTGCTCACTGTCCCTCACCACCATCCTGCCCTAACCCCATCCTAGGGTCTTTTTGTCCATTCTTCACCCTCATCCCCTCTTCATCTCTTCATTTTGCGATTGCATGTGTTTGCTTGGCATGTGGGAGGCGCCGGGACCGGGGTGAGGGATTGAGGTGGAACAGCAGCCCTGGAGGCTGGCATGTGCCAGGGCACCCTAATCCAGGGTGATATGTGCTGCTGTGGGAGCCAGCTGGGCCAGGTTGGGCACAGGGGTCGGGGCCTCAGGAGGGAGGTCTAGGCTGGAGCTGGGGATCCAAGCTCTGTCAGCCTTGAGACAGGCACTGAAGCTGCCGGCGGGTGGGGGTCATCGCCCAGGGTGAGTGTGGGACCTGCAGAGGAGACAGCTGGGGAAGTTGGGAAAGCGGAGGTGGAGGTGGGGCTGGGGCACAGGGCTTTGCAAATGCCTATCACACGGGTACTATACACAAGCACATGCACCAACACACTAGTCTAAGCATGCACACGCAGTCACAAACAACACCTGCAGAACACACACTGCACACACGCACAGGGAGACACACACATAGCCCATGATACATAAGCACCAACCATGTACAGACTTGCATGTATGTGCCTGCTTATAAGCATGTGCACACATGCATACCTGTGTGCTGTGCACAGGCCTTCACAGGTGGGCCACGTGTGTGCGTGGTGTGTACATGCACAGGCTTATCCAGAAGCAGGGGACTTGGCAGTGTCAGCACTGTCCAGAGCCCACTGCATTTATGCATGTGGAGTCATCTGTGCCTTCATGGGGAGAAGGGCAAGATGGCCGTGGCTGGAGGGGAGCACATCCCTTCTCTGGGGAAGTCTGGCTGTGAAGAGGTGAGGCAGGGCAGAAGGACGAAGGCAGCATGTGCTCGGGAAAGGCTCCTCTCACGTGGTGCTTTCTTCAGGGTTGGAGCTGGTGGATGCTGACTCAGGGCAGTGGGCAGGGCCTGCCATAAGAAGCAAAGTGGATGTGAGGCTGCTGTAGGGACTGCAGGAGGCCTATGCACTCCCACTGTGGTAGGAGGGTTAGAGAGCCCAGTGGCTGCAGTCACAGGCAAGTGAGTGGCTCGGTGGCTGGATATGAAGTCATATGGCCTTTAGCCTGCAGCCTTGTTTCCCCCATGCAGTACGAGGTGCTTAGCAGACCATGGAGTGGGGAGAAGGTGGACCACTGAATCCATCCATGGCTGGGCTGTGGGACCAGGAAGGGTACAGGACTAGGAGGAAGAGGAACAAGGAGGTGAAGTGCATTAAGAAGGGGTGGCTGAAGGCATGGGTCCCGAGGCCAGGCTGAGTAGGGAAAGAGGTATGGAAGGGAGGATGGTGGAGCCCAGGCCCAGTGTGGGACAGTAGCCGGGAGAGAGGTGGTTGGTCACAGAGGACATCAGAGTTGGTGATGAGTTGGCGGTGAGCTGTTCCAGGGGTCACAGGGCCATGGGAGGCTACTACCAGGGAACCAGGAGGTTGACTTGAAATAGGACCTGGGGCAGAGAGGGGCCTGCAGCCTATTGATGTATGACAGCAGCCCTGTGGGTGAGTGACGAATGGGGAGAGGCATCCATGCTGATCTCAGCTTGCATGCTAACATCTGAGTGTTGGGGTCAGGCCCAGAGGGAGTGCTCCAGAGTCCCCTTGTCTTACTCTGGGGGTTGGTTATGAGGCAGAGCTCCTTCTCCGGAGGCATCATCCTCACGCAGAGCCAGGGGTCAGCTATGGGGGTAAGCTGATACTCACTAGGATTCCATGGGCCAGGCATAGTGGCACATACATGTGATCCCAGAACTCAGGAGGCTGAGGCAGGAGGATTGCCATGAGTTTGAGGCCAGCCTGGGCTACATAGTGGGTTCAAGTTCAGCCTGAACTGCATAAGGAAACCCTGTCTCAAAACAAAACACAGCACAACCCCATACAAATTGCATGGCCCTACTAAGGGAGCTGTGGAGTCTTGGGGTGGGAAAGAATCCGGCCCCTCTGGAAGACACTGGCTACAGTCAGGTCGGTTGTGAGGCCCCGGGAAGTGGCCAGAGAGATCCAAAACCTGTTCTTCTCATGCTGGCATGGGCATCTCCTCTGGGCGCCAGGCTCCCTGGGTATCTCCCTCCCCACTCATAGTACCCTGGCTTTCCCAGAGCCCCCTCAAGTGGGGGGCTGCTGGTATGGTTGGTGTGTTGCCCTGGGCGGGCCCCTGACTCTCCTCCATATTCTGCAGGATGATGGATCATGGACTCCTTTCTGCAGCACGTGCCATGTCCTGTGAGCACCATCTGCACGCTCACACAGACGCACCCAGCGCGGAACCCATGGGCCATCCCACCTGCCAGAGGCTCAACGCCATCTTGGGTCCCTACCCCTTCCTGCAATGTGTCCCACGGCCAGACAAGTACAGACACCACGCTACACCCACGCACACCCAGCTTGGCCACACACAGAGCCAGCTGCGCATCACCCTCCAAACAAACGATCCTACTCTCCAGCTCAGGCCCACCTCTGCGGACTTGCCTGCCCTCTGAGTCACACAGACTCAGGCAGGGCCTGTCCTTCCCTGGCACACTTAGCCTGTGCACACACACACACACACACACACACTCACCTGCAAGCACCCCCTACACACACACACACATACATCAATGCCACCAACAGCTCTTGCCCCTAGCCACATGTGGCCAGGACTGCTCACTATCTGCCTGGCCTTCTGTCTGTCTGCTACCTGGAGAATACACAGGGTTATCTCCTTGCTCTGTGTCCAGGTGCTTTCTGCGGTCTGGAACTCACAAAAGCTGGCTTTTGTTCCTTTCCCTCCCTTTGGGGACAGGAACCTTCTGGATTTCTGCCCGCCAGGTGCTGAGGCAGTCACCCTGCTGAGCGCGCCCCCCCCTGCTGTGCACTGGCAGGCCACAGGCACTTTTGATGGACAGGCCTCAAGGAAGCCAGTGGAAGGCCTCCTGGGTACTCCGGGGAGCCGAGGCCATGGAGCTGGAGGAGCAGGCAGGAAGGGCCGGGCTATACCTAGGAGACACTCTATACTTAGGGCCTTCAGGGAAGTTCTGGGTGCCTTTTTTTCTTTTTAGTTTAGTTTAGTTTTTTTTTTAAGAAAAGAAAAATGATAAAAATCTCAAAGCTGACTTTTCTTGTTACAGAAAAACTAATATAAAAGCATTATCCCTGTCCTTGCAGCTGGCGTGTCTACGTGTGGTTCCTGGCAGGTGCTGGGCTGGGGTCTGCTAGGGGTGGGCAGGATACAAGAGCTGCAGCATCCTGCCAGACCAGCAGGAGTCAGGGCAGAGTTCAGTTCTTGGGGCGCCTCCAAAGGAGCTGCATGGGCAGGGGACCAGGGAAATGGGGCTTTGTGGCTGGTAAGGAGACCTAGAAGTGTACACGGACCCTCGGGTGGGTGGGAATCAGGAGATAGGACTGGGACTGCCACACCAGGCCTACAAGCCCAGCAAAGGCCCTGCCGGGCATCGGGCTGCTCAAGGCTCATTTAGAGGGTCACCTTTGCACTGAGGGGCTGTTACCAATCTGGTCTGTCCCACGGAAGTGGGAAGGAGGAGGCAGGCCTAGGAGCTGGAGCAGAGTTTCCCTAGGGGCAGAGTTTCTGTGGGGAAGAGATGACAGACAGGCCCAGTGTGGTGTCTCTGGGGCAGAGCTGGGGCCCGGAGAGGAAGCTGCAGGAGATGGCACCTAGCTCCCAGTGAAGAAAATCTCTAATGGACAGAGTTGCCCCACAGTAGAATGTGATGCCCAGGAAGTAGTGACCTCCCTGCTACTGGAGGTGTGTAACCACACGCCTGTCAAGGCTGCTAAAGAATAGATTCCTGCCTTGTGATGGGGTTGACTTGGTTGCTTAAAGGGCCTTAGAAATGTGACCCTGAGGGGCCGGGGATTTAGCTCAGTGGTTCCGGCACCTGCCTCGATCCCCGGTACCAAAAAAAAAGAAAGAAAGAAATGTGACTCTGGGAAGGACCCAAAAGCCCATCCACACGAAGGTGGGAGTGACTGGTAGCCTGCCATCTGGCCTCTCTTAGGTGCTGAGGCCTTGAGAATGGAAAGAAGTCTTGTGGTGGCTGTAAGGCCCCCAGCCCTGCAGTGACTGGGGCAGCCCAGGGCCCAGGCCCTTCCTGGACTCTTCACACCGTCATTCCGGGAGCAAGATGGATATAGATTGGGAGCTAGGGTAGAAGCAGGTGCCTTCCTTTCAAGGTGACCTTGGGAGGCTTGTCCCTCCCTGGATGTCAGTGTCTTCATGGATGTCATGGTGTATGACCCTCCCAGAGGCCTCCTGCAGCTACCTGCAGCGAGGGGAATGGGGGAGACACTGGGATGCCATGGGCGTGTCCCCTCTCTAAGGCAAACCACTCACCAAGGGGAGCAAGAGTAGGAGGAAACGTGTTCCTCTTAGGGTCCCTGCTGCAGAGCACAGCCCTGGGCAGGACACAGTGGCCTGGCCACAGAGTGGTCCCTGAACAAGGCCTATGGACAACCGATTGGCACGCTGTCTTCTGCATGTGACAGCACAGACAGGGCTGTCCTCACTATGGCCACCAGGACAGGCTCATCTGCATGCTGACAGCCTCCATTGCCCAGAGTGTGGGCTCTAAGCAGACGAGACTTGAAAAACAAAAGATCTTTATTTAGTTATCACTGAATTTGCAAACACAGAAAGGGATAGGAACTCTTCCTCCACTTTGTCACACGGGCCTTTGGGGAATTTTGACCCCAGGGTACCACAGGGCCCTGCCCACCTGTCCATAGGAAGCTGGCCTGGATGTCCCCACGGAGACCCTCCAGGATCCCTAGTGAAGATGTCCGTCCCCGCATCAGACAAGCTGTGGGAGACTCAGCTGGTGGGCAGGGACAGGGCAGGCCATGGCACAGGGAAGGCAGTGAGCGGGTCCCAGCCCAGGACAGGCCTACCCTTGGGGACAGCTGTTTGGCTGAAGCCAAATGCTGTGGGGCGAGGTGGAGGCCTGGACTCGGTGGGGACAGACACCTGGACGTTGTTACTACGTCATCATAAGTTAGAAGCGGTGGTGGCTGCGGAGCCTCTCAGCATCTGGCCCTACAGGCTACCCGGTCCTAGAGGAGGGAGTAGCCAGGGCCCGAAAGACTTGCGTTAGCCTCCTAGCCCTGACATTGCTTTCTCAAGACCGTGGGCAAGTGCTCAGAACCTCAAATCTGTGATCCAGAAAACGGGGACAACAACCCTCGCCTGGGACTGGGGCTTGGGGTCGGCAGGCTACCATTCTCTAGCTGGGGCTCCTGCATGCACCTGCTCCTCTCTGGAACCCTATTTCCCACCTCTGAGGCTAATTCCAGCCCCTCAGGGAGGGCAGAATGCATGAGCCTGGTGCCTGCCAGCTGCTCAGGTGAGCCTCGAGTTCAGCTCCTACGCCAGCCCTGGGGGCCTCACTTGCAGCCCCCCAAGCTCAGACGTTGGTCTCCAGCTCTCTGATCTCGATGGTGCAGTGGTCCAGGCTGGCCGTGGCCAGCTCCTCATCCCGCCCCACCTGCTCCTGCACGGGGATGTGGTGGGGGCAGGCAGGGCCGAGGGTCAGCTCCGAGGCCTCGGCCACACTCTTCACACAGCCATTCTGCTGGCTCGCCACGATCTCCTGAAGGCTCACTGGCTTGGTCTCGCTGGGTGGCAGCTTCTGGAGAGGGGACATGAGATTTGGTAGCAGCAGGAAGGACTGAAGGTGGTTGGAGAAAGTGAGCTTAGGGCTGGAAACCAAAAAAGGGATTTTCCTACAGAAACCCTAGGTGGGCCCGCAGGTCACAGGTCTCTCTGCCCCCAGTCCCCAAGCTATCCTGGCCTCTACTGCAGCTGTCTCAGTAGAGGAGGGACCTGACCCACAGCTTAAACCAGGGAATTGGTGGCTCTCCTGCCGGAGCCTCCTCTTCCTCTTCATGAAGTGGGGGTGGATGACATGGCTACAGAGGGAGCCGAGGAGACAGTCAACCCTATGCAGACCCCCAGACACGTGACTTAGCAGGACAGTGCCATCTTGCCCTACAGTGCGGGGTCCCCAGGGCGGGGACTTTATATTAGTTCCCACTATTTCTCCTGTCTAGATCAGTGCTGGCCCAGAGGAGTCGGTCACTCCTGTTAGTCACGGATGAGGAAGCCAAGGCCCAGAGACATGGAGGGATTGGCTGAAGGCTGTCGAGCAGAGGGTGGGAAGTCTGGTGTCCACTCCACCTGGCTGCACCCTCCTAGTGGCCTCTGGGAAGGAGCTCCGTTCTCACCTCAGTGCCAGGGTCCCAAGCAAAGTCCTTCCGGCAGATGTGGGCCATGATCCCTGCAGCCAGCGCGTCACCCAGCACATTAATCATGGTGCGGAAACGGTCCCTGGAGAGACAAGGTGAGTAGTGAATGCACGGTGAAGTGGAACTGGCAGGGGCCATCCCATCAGGAGGGCAGAATGCCCCAGCCCGCCTTGAGTGGTGTCAAAGCAGGCTGATGCAGGGCTGGCCTGGGTCAGCCACACAGGCCCTGTACTTAGAAGGGTGGGCATGGTCCAATGCACTGTGATCACTTGGAATTCTGTTTTTGTTTTTCAATCTAGGCCCCCCCCAGATTATGTGCCAGGCCTGTGTAGATGAGGAAAGCAGCCGTGCTGTGACAAACAAATGCAAACACAGTAGTGCCCCATGGCCCTCTCCTCTGGGGAAGGGGCTCAGCTCTCTACCCTGCCATGACTGTCCTGGCTGGGAATGGGGCCGGGCCGGGCACAGGGTGCACTCACAGAGCCCAGTCCACGGCGATGATGAGGTTGATATCGTCAGTGGGCAGTCCCACAGAGGTGAGCACAATGACCATGGTGACAAGCCCGGCCTGGGGGATGCCAGCTGCCCCAATGCTGGCCGCAGTAGCTGTGATGCTGCATGGGGTGAGGTGGAAAGGGGAGGAAGAGGAGGGGCAGGAGGTGGTGGGGAGCATGTCAGGGCCCTACTCCAAGGAGGAGGCCAGAAAGCCAGTGCCTCTGGGCAGCCCCATGAGTCTGGGGGTTAGCAGAGATGTCGCATCAGGGAGTTCCCAGGGGATCATGACCCTCCATATGCTCCTGGGGTCCCATGGGCCCCATCCCTAGCCTCAGGAGACCTAAAGAAGCTGTGGAAACTGGTGTCTAGAACTGCACCTCTGTTCCAGAGATTCTGATCATCAACCAGTGCAGCTCAGCCCAACCTTGCTCTGAGGCCTGGTCTCCAGCATTAGACTTGAGAGCCAGGCTGGCCTTGGAGGCCTCCCCTCAGCCTCTGTTCCCCACCAGCATCCTGCCCTCAGCTTCAGTGCTGACTTGAGTGCGGCCTGGTGTGGGCCCCTCACCCTCACTGGCCCCAGAGACACCTCCAGGATGGGGTGTCAGGACACACCTGATGGTGATGATCTGGCCAAAATCCAGCTCAGAGTTGTTGACCTGGGCAATGAAAATGGCAGCCACAGCCTCGTAGAGCGCAGTGCCGTCCATGTTGATGGTGGCGCCCACAGGCAGCACAAAGCGGGCAATGCGCCGGTCGATGTGGTTGTTTTCCAGCAGGCACTTGAAGGTGATGGGCAGTGTGGCTGAGCTATGGGCAGAGGGGCTGGTGTTTGCCCACCACCCTCCTCCAGGATGACTGGGGCCTCTGACAGGAAGCTGCCTGCCCGGGCCAGGAGGGCTGGCCCATCACCCCTCTGCAGGGCCACCTGACTCAGAGTCCACCCTCCACCCAGGGTCCTGGCAGAGTCTTAACCAGGTCTCCCGGTTCCCTTGTCCACACAATACCCAGGTCACACAGCTGTTGCAGGGTCAAGCCACACCCTGCTCAGACAGTGCCGGCAGAGTTCTGTGGGTGCTTCTTCTGCTGCAGGGTGTGGCCGTGTCCACTAGGTAAGTGGCCTTCACTCTCTGCCCCTTCAATGGGAAGCTGACCCTGTGTGGATGGAGTGAGCTTTTGGGATTAGGGGCAGAGGAAAGCACTGAAGGCCTAAGCTAGGTTTTGTTCCTATAGCACCATCGCCATTCCCAGCTTTGTGAAGTGGGCTGCAGACAAATGATGGCCGGACAGAGGGACAGAGTTCTGTGCTGCCCACCCTACCCCTCTCATCACCCCGGGCTACCTGGAGGAGGTGGCCAGCGCAATGAGCAGGGCCTGGAGGACACCACGGATGAAGACGATGGGGTTCTTCTTCGTGATGAAGAAGTAGAGCAGGGGCAGGATGAAGAGGCCGTGGATCACAAGTCCACACACCACGGTGATGGCGTACAAGCCCAGCTGCTTTCCAACCACCTTGGGGTCATCCATCTCCAGGATCTTGCCAGCGATGAGGAACACAATCCCAAAGGGGAAGTACCTGGGGCGACAGGACAGCCTCAGCTCAGTGCCAGGCAGACACATGCCCCCAGCCTGGCACTGCATCTCTGGGCCTCTGGGGCTCACATGAGGCCAGGATGAGACTAAGCAAGGTGTCTTGCAGGTAGCATTGCTGGTGCCCTTATCCTTAACCATCCCCACCTGGACAACCTCTGGCCTCTCCACCTGTCCTGTCTCTGCCTTCAGGTGGCCCTGTTCCAGCTGCAGCAACCCCATACCTTCCTGAGCAGCCTCGGGCAGCCCTCTGTCTTTCCCCTCAGTCTAGAGGATTCCTAAGGTCTGAACTCTGAACAGCGCTGGCAGCTGGTTTTCCCTTCCACTGTGTTCTTTCTTCAAAAGCTGAGTTGAGGAGGCTCCATGGTATGGAGAAACTGAGGCCAGGAGGGCAAGCAAGCCAGGCTGAACCATTCTCCATGCTAGGCCACAAGTGGCAGAACCAGGCCAGGAGGCTGACCTAGTCAGGGCTGGAGATCCAGGCAAACGCAGGTATTTCTGGAGGCCCCAGGCCCTGGCTGAGCCTCTCTGGACAGCAGAGGATGGACCAGCCCTCAACGTCTCTCCACCTGCCTGGGACCAGAGGGCTGGGTGGGGTGGAGAGGACCTGCCCCACAGAGGCTCACCACACAGCCACGGCCACAATCTTCATGACAGACTCATTGAGGCACTGGCAGAAGCTGACCAGGGGGCCCCCGCTGGCACCCATGCGCCCCAGCACGATGCCTGTGAGAACACACAGCATGTCACAGGGGCCCCTGCCAAGGCGCAGGCACAAGCACACGGGGGCAAAGCAAGGACAGAGCTGTACCCATGAGTGAGCTCCGGCCCTTCCTGACTGCTCAGAACCTGCAGTGGGCCACATTTCCCCTCACTCTCTGCTCTCCTCAAACCAGGATGGGCCTGTCGCACACTCAGGTGCAGCCCCTCTGCAGGCCTGGCACTTTGGCCAGATGATCAGATCCGTTATTCAAGGCCATCCATCCATTCGTCCATCTGTCCACCCATCTCCCTAACAGGTCTCACTGAGCACTACCCTCTCCAGCCAATTGCGGTGAGCCCAGGGATACATGGAGAACAAGGCAGGCATGTCCCTCCCCACCCAGAGCCAACACAGCTGCTGTACAGACAGCATGCTGCTGACTGCACAGTGTTATAATGCAGTAGGGTCTGCCAAGGTGTAATGTGCACAGAGAATGTGGAGTCTGGCCCCTGACTCAGTCTGGGGGATCAGGATGCTTTCCTGAGGACTGAGGCCTGTAGGGAGGCCCCTGGGGAGGGGTGAGAGAAGTGACAGGGGAGAAGGGGCAATTGCAGCTGGGCTGAGGCAGAGGAGGGCCCTCCACATGGCTGGGAGGTCACTCAGATAACTGGGTAGTGGATGCCAGAAGGGAATGGCATGAGGGCACTGCAGGGGCAGGCAGAACATACCCATGGTGGCAGAGAAGATGACAATGCCCAGCACGTTCATGCCATCACTGGTGTCAGGCTCTGACTTGTAGACGATCTCAGGTGGTGGGGTCAGGTCCAGTGCGAAGTTCTGCACACGAGAGCCATTCTCTTCCTGGACCCCGTAGATGAGGATGTGCCGAGGAGGGGCCTCCTCTGGGGTCACCTTGGGGGACCTGACAACCGGGGTGGTCTTGGTGCGGTACTGGTGGGCGACAACCCACAGCTCAGTGTTATTATCAATAACAGCAATAACATCTGGAAAGCACATCTGTGTCACTTCTGTCCTATTTGATTGGGAGCAATCTCATGAGGAAGGCAAGGCAGGGATCAATATTTTACCCAAAAGAGATCTTCCCAAACTCAGCCACTTCCTTTGTGTCCCCACCCCAGGCCAGGGAAGGGGTTCAGGAAATGCTTGCTGGGATGCCTTAACAAACCTGCTACCATTAGAAGGAGAAGGAGAACTGTAAACTGTTAGGAGTGCAGACGGACAGAGAGGCACAAGGATCTTTACACCACCTATAAATGGCAACAGCTAGAATCCAACCTAAAAGTCCACTGCAGCAGGAATGTGTGTGTAGACTCAGCCTTGCCGCAGGCGGCTACATCACTAACTGTTGGACTTTTAAGAAACAATAACTGCGGGAAACACTCAAAGTATGATGGAAGGGAAAAGAGCAAGATACAACTGAATGCACTATGATTTTTGTTTTATTTTCAAAATATATTTATGAAGAGAAAAAAGACTAAAAATGTAATATCCTCTACCATTATTGCTAGGTCCCGGAACTAGAGATAATTGTTATTTTTTAATTTATGTATTCTAATATTTTCCCAATAGAGTTATTTTGTAAAAGGAGATAGGACAGTCTTGCAGCCAGCCTGGCCTGGGTTTGCCTACTAGCTTGTCATTCACTAGTGGTGTAACCTTGAGCAAATCATCAAATTCTTCTGAGCCTGTTTCCTCACTGAGGAAATGGGGTTAATCCTACCTTGGAACAGCGTTACCATAAGGATTTACACACAGGTGATGAATGTGTGAGCACTAGCATGGCTTCCACAGCCAGGGAGGCCCTCAGTAAAGGCTTCCTTCCACTCCATAACATTTTTTCCTGAAAGACTGGAACCCAGGACAGAGCTGTGGCCATGGGAGACTGAAAGGATCTAGGTCCCTTTCCCTCTGGCATCGCACCTCCATGAGACAAGGAGACTGGCTGGGCCAGCCTGTCACTTTCCAGCCTGGTTCAGGCTGGCCCTGCCTCCTTTCCCCTCCTGCCAGTGCCCTCCCTGTCCAGTGCCCAGAGACCTGCTCACCTGTTTGAATGTGGCTTCCACCAGGTTGGCTGGGAACATGTTCCTGGGAAGAAAGTCAGTAGTTGAAGAATTCCAGAGCCAGGCCAGGGCTCCTGGGGTCATCTGAACACCTGCCTTGGGAGCCAAGGCCCTCCGAGAGCCGCCTCTGCCTCTGCATGCTTGCACCTCATTCTGCTGGTCTCACCCAGCTTTTCCAGCTCCCTAGCTACACCCTGTGGGTATCATCCATGCCCTCCCTCTGCCCGGTATGACCAGCATCTTACTCTAATCAGTCCCAAGGCAAGCACCACTTTCTGGGTACAACCAGCCAGCCAGACACGGCCCTTCTGGGTGCGTGTCACCTCCACTCGTCATACTGTGGCACAGTCACTGGCAGATGTGTCTGCCTCCTCCACACAGTGGCCTCTTTGAAGGGAAGACTTGGTTATTCAGATCCTGTCTTCGGGGCCTGACACAGACCCTGGCACGGAAGTGAATCACTGCAGTCACTCACTAGTGACTGGTATGGGGACTGTCCCAAGACTCCACAGACACCAAAATTCAAGAATGCTCAAGTCCCTTATAAAAAATGGCATAGTATTTGCATATAACCTGCACATTTCAGCTTTACATTACTTATAACACCTAAGGCAGTATAAACGTGATGTAAAAATTGCTCTATTGAGGCCGGGGATTTAGCTCAGTGGTTTTGCCGCCTGCTGCGCAAGCGCAAGGACCTGAGTTCAGTCCCTGGTACCAAAAAAAAAAGAAAAAAAATTGTTCTATTGTTTAGGAGATAATGGCAAGGGAAAAAGTCTGTATACTTTCAGTACAAATGCAGTTTTTTCCTCCAAATCTTTTTCAACCTGCAGTTGGTTGAATTCACAGATACAGACTCTTAGATCCAGAGGGCTGACTGTATTTTTATTAATATTTTATTATAAAGCTAAAGATGGAGGAGATCTTGTCAACCAGATATGAAAGCATATTATAAAGATGTAACTGGCAAAGCATGATGATAGCAGCATAGCCTCAACAGAATAACAAACATCACAGAACCTGTGGCTCAGAAACAGAACCTCGTACATCTGGTTAGTATTTCATATTTGATAAAAGTTGCATCACAAGTCAGTGATGAACTGAAAAATTCATCATATAGTTCTGTATAGCTGACCAACTATTTGGAAAAATAAACATTAGCTCCTTATTTAACACCTCAGACCAAAATAAATTCTAGATGGTTTTAAGAATTAATATTTTTTAATGACGCCATAAAAGCTAGTTGAAATATAGGCTAATATTTTATCACCTCACAGAATATGGAAAGACTCTCTAAGAAGTATAAAATACAATGTATACAATAAAATAGGAAATTTCTAAGTGCAATATGGCACCCTGGACTGGATCCTGGGATGAGAAGAAAGGACATTAGTGGAAAAACTGGTAAAATCCGAATGAGGTCTATAAGTTAGTTGGCAGGGTTGTAACAAGTTAATGGCTTAGTTTTGACAAATGTACCATAGTTATATAAAATGCTAACATCTGGGGAAAGCTGGTATATGGGATCTCTTTTCTTTGCAACTTTTCTGTAAACTTTCAATTACGCCAAAACAAAAAGCTAAAAAGAAGGAGGAGGAGAAGAGGAAGAAGAGGAAGAGGAGGAGGAGGAGGAGAAGGAGGTTGTTGAAGTTCTCTAAGACAGAGTATAATACAAATGTAGTAATAAAGCAAATGACATACTGGAAGACTACATGGCCAATCATTACTGTCCCAGGTCTGTAAAGGGCTTTTACACATCTTGTCCTGATTTCCACAACCACCATAGGCCTCCTCTCACCAGAGTAGGGAGGGCAGAGACTTCTGTTTTGTGCCCTGCTGTGTCCCCAGCACCTGGAAGAGGGCCTAGCACAAGCAGACATGCAGAAAATGCTTGTTGCATGAACAGATGGGCCATAGAAACAGTACAGCTCCAATAGGAAAATGATTAGAAGGTCCGCACAGGCAACCCACTTCACCAAAGGGAAGTGAAGGGCCAGCGAGGCTTTGAGAGTGGTTTGGTGTTTGCAGTCTACTTCACCTATGAGACAGTACAGATGCCAGGGTGGTCTGGGAAGATAGGTGCCCTGGGAAGGTCTGGAAGCGGCTTTTCTCTACAGTAATTTCATCTGGACTCTTAAAAAAAGTTTCTCTTCTTGTCTTTATAATCCCCTTCTAGGAATCGATCTGAAGTCTGAGATGCGAACAAGAGTCTTGTTCTCGGGCTCGCGCTTGCCGGAACAGGCCTTGTGCAGCGCGCTCCCGCGGGGCTCTCAGACTGGCTGGCCCTCCCACTCGCTCTTGTTCTTGGCGAGTCTTCGCCCCTTCCAAGACTCAGCTCCCACGGCCAGGGGCCAGGGGTTGCGCGCGTGGACTTGAGTGTGCATTATTTCTTACGCCTCCTTCCCAGCACTGGTGGCTGGGAACAGAAACGCAGTTTTTACTGCAGCTAAGATTTAGGTTCAGTGTATGCAGACGGCAGGAAGAAGAGGGCTAAGAAGGAGCCACGGAGGCACATGGCTGGTCAGGCCTAGGTGTCTTTACCAGGAATGGCAACTTAGTCATAATGCTGAGAAGAAGCGGGGATCAGGAGCTGGGATGGCAGAAGCTTAAATAAGACTTTTTCCCCAGGAGTTATAAGCTGATTTCTGCCCTCAGAGTGGTAGCTGCCTGCAGGGAATTCAGAAACCAAGCAGACCTGAAGCCCAGAGCCAGCATTAGTGCCGGGGGCACGCAGGCCCGGCCCACCTGCCCTGGGTGTCGCCTACCACCTGAGGATGTCCAGGCAGCGCTGGCTGATTGTTAAATACTTTGAAAATCTCTCCCTGGTATCACCCCAGGAGGTTCAAGCGACTTACAAAGTTGTTTTCTAATGAAACTTTAAAAGGCATCTGCTTAAGATTCTTTGAAAGATCATAAGAAACCAAATAGAGCTTGCACTTAGTTCCTTAATCACTTCCTTTAACATTAGGGTAACTTCAAATGTGGGCTGTGGCCCGGACATTAGCCTACCTCACCTCCGTCCTGTCCTCCTTCCTTACTAAGAGAAGCCCTGTTATGTTACGGGGCCCACTGGGGCCCGGCCACCAAACCCTGACTCCCACCCTCTCTTGCTTTAGGTGGCCACTGAGATGTAAGTACAAGTCATTAAACTCCACTCTTGAGTGCTGCTCATTCCAACCAGCGCCCTGTGGCAGTTTCCTCCAACATTCTTCTTTCTGTCTGGAGATGCAGATGTAAGAACTAGAGCCTGCACAACCTTCTCAGCACTTACCATGGTGGAGCACGTGGGGGCCAGAGTGTGAGCTCCTGATGACCACAACCTGCCCACTCATGGACCATTTATGCAGAAGAAAATGTACATTTTTTGCCTCTCCTCAGCCTCTGCTGTTCTAGGTTTCTCTTAATTAGCAGGCAAAAGCGATTCTTGACTGAGATATGTGCGCATAGCATACTCATTATCAGTGAGCTTATTCTGCAGACTGAGTCAAGAATGACATTCCTAGGGCCAGGGATTTAGCTCAGTGGTTCCGCTGCCTGCCTTGCAAGTGCAAAGACCTGAGTTCGATCCCCGGTACCAAAAAAAGGACACTCTTTTTATTAATCAGGAAAATGTGCAACTTTTTTTGGCTTTGAACACTCAAGCAACCCTTCCTGCCTTTCCCATGGGGCCTGTGCTCCTGGTGGTAGCCACATCAAATACAGGCGGAATGTACCTGGAGACGTTAACAGCCATGCCAAGGAAACGGCCCCTGCTCTGCCAGGGCCCACATGGACATTTCTGTGAGCAGGGCCAGGGCTACCTCTAGGCTTCCCGCCTGATTTGTTATTTATTTATAAGTTCTCACTGCTATGGCCCCAAACTCACCCTCAGTCACACATCACCAACCTGAGTCCCAGGGTGGGGCTTGTTCCCTCTGCAGCATAGCTCCTCAGAGCTCCATCCAGTTCCTGAGACGGTAATAGGGAGGGCAGAGCCAAGTCATTACTTAATCTTTGTGGTGTTTTAATAAGACTGGAAAAAAAAAAAAAAGAAGGGACCAGCTCTGCCTAGCGTTCTGCTGCGTTTTTCCTGTGAGCTGCACTGGGAGCACTGGAAAGTTTTCTGAAGTCCCCGCTTGGAGCCCTGAGAGGTGACTTCATGTCTTGGTCGGTCATCCAGGGACACAGCCTGATGTATCCCACTAGAACCACCTTGGAGACTTGGACACTTACCTTCGCAGCACAGTGCCTTTACCAGAACAGGTACTTAGTGAAGGTGGGCTGCATGGAGTGTAGTGACCACGCTGCCTCCCAGGGAGCTCCAGGCCTCCAGCCACATCCTGTCCACTGCTCTCTGCTCTGATCCATCCTTCCTGAGGACAGCATTTCTGACACCTAACATCCTCCCGCTGCTCCCCCTGCCCCTGACTTCACAGACTTTGAGGCCAGGCTCTGCCCTGTCACCTTCCAAGAGCTCTGCTCATGCCCTGCAGCCTCCTCCCTGGCTCTTGGCCTTTGTGTAGAACCAGTGCTGGAAGGGTCTTGAACATCTCTGGGAAACTGAGCCTCAGAGAGGAACCCTGGTCTGGCTGAACCACACAGTAGCTGACTATTGGTAGAGCTGAGATGAGGCTGCAGCTCTCTCAGGTTCTGGTCCCTGCCCCAGAAAGCATGTGGTCCCGGCCCGCAGCCCCACTCTCTGCACAAGAAATGGTAGCGGTGGTGCCCAACCTCCCGCTGTGCAAAAGCCTCAAGCAGAAGGATCAGCTTTCACCATGTGAGCAGCAGCCAAGAGCAGGAAGCACTGTGGAACATCTGACTGTGACACATGTGTCCATGCAGAGACCCGGAGTGGGGGAGGTAGGGCTCCCGGAGGACCTGCTGCTCCCTCCACCACGTGGAAAGGCTGCTTTGAATCACAGAATCCAAGAAACGATGAGTCATAGGCACCAAATCCTAGAAATAACAGATCTTAGAAGTGGGGCTTCTCAAAGTTCCTCATGTCTGGGCTTCCAGGACACCTGCTCTTCTGCTTCTTCTCCTGCCCTTGCTCGCTCCGTGAGCACCACGCAGCCTTCGGTGTGGCTGAGGACCGAGGCTCACCCTGAGCTGCTGTGCCCTGCACATAGGCAATTCCAGCTCCTCCTGGAGCTTCAGATCCCTGCTCCACAGATGGCCCTGTGTCCCACCTGATCTTCACCACGTGCTGTTCCAGGCTCCAGGGGTGGAGCAGGGAATAGACTTGGAAAGGTCTGCACCCCCACCCCCACCCCCACCCCCGCCCTAGGGGCGGGGAGGATATAACTATGTATTCTGGGGAAGGTAACAGGAAGACATAAAGAAATCTATGGATGCAACAGTGTCTGGTGGTAATGATGGCTATTTAGAAAAGCAGAGCAAAAAGAAGGTAATAGAGAGTGAAGGTGACCCTGCAGAGGCATAAGGAAGAGAGGGGAGGAACCATCACTCTCCTCCCAGTAAAGGACATCAGAGAGGTGGTAATGGCACCGAGGCCCAGCCACACTTGATGGACCTGGGCAGAACAGCAGAGGCCAGAAAAGTGGAGGGAGACAGGGAAGGGGGAGTGTGTCAGAGGTCAGGGACCTGAGGGTGTGACAGTGAGGCCTGAAGATGCGTGAGGCCTGGAAGGGGCTGTGATCCAGGACACTACACACCAGGATGGGTCGTGCGCAGGTTTTAGACAGGATCCCGGTGGCAGCTGTGGCAAGGACACTGCAGGAATAGAGGGGACGCAGGTCAGCCCAGGTGGACGCCAAGTGGCAGGTGACAGTGGGTGTGAGAATGAAAGAACAGAAAGGCCACAATGTGGAATACCCCTTTGAGGACTGGATGTGGATTTTGAGAGCTGCTGAGCAAGGGGGCAGGACTCTGAAAAGGCAGATCTATGGGGAAAATGAACAGTTTTGCTTGGCCATACTAACTTTGAGACAGCTGTGTGTGGAATCCAGTGCTCAGGTAAGAGGGGCCCCAGCTGGACTCCAGATCTGGGCGGGCCAGTGTTCAGAGGCATCCCAAGTATGGCTTGGCACCAAGTGTTGCCAGGCATGTAGACACAGAGAACCCTGGCTGGACCTCTTCTGTCTGTAGACCCCTAAGTGAGAACCGTGCAGTAGGCGCAATGTCACAAGAACTTCTGTGATCTTTAGGACAGAAAAGAATAGAACAGAAGCTGGAGATATTCCTGGGGGAAACAGAGGTGGGAAGCGTGGGCTGGCTGCATTGATAGCTGCAATTAGCAGACTTTCTTCACCTCGTAATTTCAAAGTTGCCTCCCACCCTGCTCTGGTCAAGAGGATGTTAGTGCAACTTGCTCAAAGCAGAGACTTGAAAAGCACTCATATGTTTTCATTTCCTCTCTCGCTCTCTACCTTCATCCTAACAAGACGCCCAGATGAGTGCTCTCATGGAATCCTGTTGCCATGGTGAATAAAGCCAGCTTGGCTTGTTGCAGTGTAAAGACCCCGGGCAGCCCAGCTAAACCATTCTCACCAAGGCCATCCTAGAGCAGCTGTTCCTCAGCAGCCTCCTGCAGACTGTGACTGTGCACAGGTCAGCTCAGCAGACCTTGCAGCTAACTGAAGATTCCTGAGGGTCATTTCAAGCCCTTAAGCCTTGGGTGGTTTGTTACACAGCAGTAACTGACTGACACAGAGGGGGTGCAGGGGGTGGGAGAAGAGAGAAAATATACCCTTGGCATCTATCCCCACAGGGGAGGAGAGGAATGCTTCTCCATAATACTAGGCCAGGAGAACTACAGAACTACTCAGAGATCTCAACTTGTGTCCCCTAGGATTTGAGGAATATAGAGGTTAGTGGTTGACTCATGTCCAAAGGCCCTGAGAAAGGCCTTCACTTCAGCAAGGCTACACATAGTTTCCCATGGGCCAGACAGAAGTCTGTAGCCCTTTCCTGGGGAGGAGGTCTTGGGTGTCCAGAACATGGTTAACAGAGTTGACATGGCTAAGTGGGTGGCATCACTGTGGTGGCCAAGAGTGCTGTCCTGGGAGTTAGACAACCTGGACAGACGCCTGGCTCCACAACCTACCTGCTGGATAACCCTGGAAACGTTACATCACCTCCTCGAGCTTTCTTTCCCCATCTGTGAGAAGGGGATCAATATAGCAGGGGAGAGGGGAGGGGACTCATAACTGCTGGCCTTGCCACCTTGCAGGCTGGGTGCCCAAAGCTGCTCACTGACCTGCTCAGGCAGAGGAGCAGACCCCGAGCTGCCCTCAGGTCCTGCCAGCCTGATGGGCAGATGGTGCAGCGGGAGCTCATGGGGAGAACCAGTGCTGGATCAGAGACTTGTTTGTCATTGATTTCAGGGCACCAGGTGCCATGGCCTGTACACAGCCTCCGTGCCTGTGCCTTATACCAGAGCACTCACGGTCCTCTGGAGGCCATGCAGGGCACTTGGCCGTGTGTGTGCTCCCCACCGGGTATGGGGGACAAGTTACCGGATGAGGTCCAGCAGGGCATCCGCTGAGCTCATGACGGGCTTCCCACTCTGCTCCATAGTCTCCTTCTGGGCCGCACCCCCGGGGTGGATGATGGTAACCATGATGATGCCCACGACGACGGCCAGGAAAGTGGTCCACAAGTAGTACGCCACAGTGAGGATGCCCAGCCGGCTGGAGGTCTTAGCATCCAGGGAGGCGAGGCCGGACATCAGGCTGGGAGATTGAAATGGGTCAGAGGCTGTGGGGGCATGAGACCCTGGCCAGGCGCTCAGGCTGGTCCGCTCCAGCCCCCTCCCTGCCATGCCCAGCATCTGCACGTGCCTCAGGGATCCCTCTCAGTTCTAGGCTCCTTCTCATCTCTCTTTTGGCTCCCAGTACAAGGGTCGCCAGCCACAGCTCCAGCTTTTACTGCTCCCTCCTGGCTGCTCCCTTCCATTAAGAAGCTTCCCTCACTCGTCTGACTGCCACTCGCCAGCAGGCTCAGGGCCACCTGTCATGGGGAGTCTTTCTGAACTACCTGCCTCTTCCCCAGAGTCAGGAGCCCGTCCTGGAGCTGCCCCAGCCGAGGGCCTCCTCTGTCTGTCACCAGACTGAGTGTAGATGAGAGGAGGGGCAGGCTTGGCCTGGTGGATCCCCAGCCCCCAGCCCCAGTCTGAGCTCCCTCTGGGCTGGTGGCTCTTGCAGCCTTGCTGAAGGGGCTGTGAGTGGAGAGTAGAGCACTGGCAGGGAGTCGGTGGCCTGGGACCCAGCCGAGTTCTGCCCACTGTCGGCAAACCTGTCCCGAGGCCCCCATCTCCAGAATGGGGCCCAGAGAGGAGCCACCCCCGGGCCATCTTGGGTTAGTGCCTGGGTCCGCACTCCCTCTCCCTGGCTCCTCATCACCTCTGGCCACCCCAACCTGGGTTCTCTGTGCCCCAGTGTGGGTCGCCCCAGTGCTACTATGCTCAGGCTGTTGCAGGGTGCCCAGAGGGAATGAATGGGGCAAGGGGCTGGGCAAGAGATTAAGGAAATGCTGGTGCTTTGTTTTGCTGCCAAAAGCCCTTTCATTCTTTCAGATAAAGAAAGTATTTGTCTGGTTTTAATCATGTAAACAAGAGCAGATAATCCTCCATCAGTGCTCTTCTTATCATCCCACCTCACCCAGCAGCACCCAGCGCCAGGCCCGGTGGGCACAGCTACCCTGTTCCCTCCTACCCTTGCTGGGCCCCACCCACTGCCCCAAAGCAGGCCTGCCCTTAAAACACAGGGCAGAGCTCTCTCCCTTCTCTGGGCTCCCTCACTCTCTGCCTCCACCGCACTGAGCTCCTGTTTCCTGGAAGCGCTTTCTGGGCTGGGTTGGAGTCTAGCTCCTTTCGGGGTACAAAGAGCTGACCTGGGCCTGGCCCAGAGCTTGGCTTGATAGCAGGTTGCTAAATGAATGAATGAATCAATGAGTGTTCACAATCTGCATCTTATCTCCCAGGATGCCATATGTTAGTGATGGGCTCAGAATGGGTCTCAGATATAAATCCTGAAGGGGTCTTAATGAGATTGTGCAGCCAGAGCCAAAGGAAATGGGGGCTGCTGGAGTGAGGGGGGAGTGCTGGGCCTGCTTGGTACATCAGCCCGAAGCCAAGATGTCCTTCCCCCAGTGCAGAGCCCCACTGTCAAGTCCATGTCCAACCACCTCAGGCCACAGGGCAGCCATAGCCTGGAGAAAAGGACCTGCCCAAGGTGACCTGGACAATAGTGCCCAAGTGAGCCAGAATTCGGGCCCAGACTTCAGGCCTGTCCTCTTTCATTCGTGCCCATTCTATGTCGTGCCCTCTGCCCAGAGAGAGAAGTCAGAACCTGTCCCTGACCTCAGGGAGCTCCTCCTCCTCCAGCACGAGTAGGGACGGAGACACCCAAGGACACTGGGATGCAGGGGATGGAAGTAACCACTGGGCAAGGTGGACGCATCAGTACGCCAAGGAAGGACTATCTCAACTAGCCGTGAGGGTTAGCTCTAGCTAGGACAGTCAGGAAGGGCCTCCTGGAGGAGGCGGCATTTGAGTTGGCTCTTAGAAGGTACAGAGGCCTTGGAGGTGAGGCAATGGGATAGCAGAAGGCAATGCGGAGGCTGGAAAGTGTGGTCAGAGTTCAGGTCAGGTTTGAAGTACAGTGATAGGATAGAAAAGATAGTTTGAGCTCAGAAGCAGGGTGACCTTGAATGCCAGGCCAGGGGGACTGGAGGAGCCATCGGGGGACACACAGAGGGTAGAACAAGGGCCTGGCAGTGCTTCAGCATGACTCAACTAGCAGAAATTGCTAGATGTCTGAGAAGGAAGAGCTAAAGATCCTGCAGTTTTGAGGATATCAAAGTAAACAAAGTGTACCGGGGGGTCTCTGAAGTGGTCTCCATAGGAGCAAAAACTCAGGATCTCAGACAAAAAGTATGACATGTCCATGACCAGAGTTCTAACAACCACTACAGGGGTGGCACTGCTGGGGAGATGTTCCTCACTGAATGCAAAGTGGAAAATTAATGACCAGTTAGGCTATGGCCCTGCAGGGAGCCCCAGAGCCTCTTGGGAAAGAGACCCCTCTGTGACAGGGTAGGCACAGTTGAAAACCAGATACCAGGAGAAGATAAGGACTCTTGGGGAGGATGAGGCCTAGTACAGGGCACATGCCAACTCAGGGACACCTACATGTGGGAGGGAGCCTGGAAGGCTCCAGACAGAGCAAGGGTCCCAGCCCAGTACAGCAGAGGGCCGACGGGAGGAGGCCCATCACTGGCCTCACACAGTTCCCTCGGCCCTCTCTCCTCCACCCAAATGGTTTCAGGGGATGGTAGGCCGGTGGGGCAGGTGTGCTGGCAGTGCTGGTGCTGGCAGTGCCAGGGTGACTGCAGGCCATGGCAGCAGCCAAGAGTTGGGAGGACAGGGAGGCACAGGTCTCGTGAGACAGTGCTACTCCTGAACTCCCTGTAAGAGGGAAAGAGGTTGAAGGCTCTGTTTTAAGCCTTGGGAGGATGGGGAGGGGGGCTGTTCCTTGAGGTCCAGACTTTAGAGCAGAGCTGTTAAAGTGGGTTTTCTGAGAACCTGTGAGTTGAGGCAGGGTGGTGGCTAGGGGAGCATTAGATCACATGAACATCCACACGTGCACACACAGGACTAAGGCTCTTAGGAAGAAATGTTAACAGTAGCTTTCTTTGCACGGTGGGATTATGGGTCATTTGTGTTTTGTTTCTCATCTCTCTCCATGTTCTCTATAATTTCTAGAATGAGTACAAGCACACCTCACAGCCAGAGTGTGATAGCCAACCTATCCATTTGTGTAAAGCCAAGTGATGCTGGGTGGTCGCCTTCTCCATCCCCCTTGGGCGTCCCGGGACCTCAGTTAATGCATGACAGACTGCCGAATCCTATGTGAGTTTGCAACTATGTTATCGTTACTGCCTTGTAAACAGGATGCTCTGCAGCTGTGTGAGTCTGCGATGATGTTATCTTTACTACCTTGTAAACAGAAGACTCCTCACTGCTGTGATATTTTGTTTTAATTAAACTGTGTGAAACCTCCCCCCACCCCCACTAATTTAGCAAAGTTCTGCTCCTATAAAATTCTGCTTGGGCATCCCCTCTCCCTGAGCCCTCCCCAAATAGAAGAGTCCTTAAAAGGACCCTGCAAAGTGCTTCTGCTTTTTCTGGCACAAGCCACTGTGGAATGCCAGCTATAACAATAAAGGATTCAATTTAATTCAGAGTGTGGAGGATCTCTATAGTTGCAACTCATCCAGCCCCATAACAGAAACTGTAATTTTCCTGGAGTTTACTGTTCCTCCAACACCTGGACATCTACCTCATTCAATCCTTAACCTTTTAAGTCAGTGCTACTCTATAGAGGCATAATGCCAGCTACATTTGTCATTTACATTTTTCTTTTTTCATTTTTTGTGGTATTGGAGATTGAACGTAGGGCCTTTGCAAAATTAATTTCAATAATTCCTTTACCCAGTATATCCAAAACATGACCATTTCAATGTGTCAATATAAAAATGTTTTATACTCCTCAAGTTTTAAATGTTAAGTAAAATTGAATAAATTTAAACTTATCTTATGAGCCACAATTTTAGGGTTCAGCAGCCACTGCTGACTAGTACCTGTGGTCTTGGACTGCCTGCATCTGAGTTACAGCAAAGGAAATCAGAGGTCAGTGAGGTGGAGATGATGCTGGTAAATTCTACAGTCAACATGGGAATGGGCTTTCTGATTCTGGACCCTATGGGGTTTCCCTTTCTCCCACAGTCCTTCTCAGTGAGCAGTATAGACCTAGTTTAACTTCTGGTGGCAGGGGGATAGGGGTATTCTGGTTTGGGTTGACCACGATTGCAATGTAATCCAGGCCTTATAATGGTTTTACAGCTCAGCTAAACCTGGATGGCCCCCTGCTGGGATGGAGCCTAAAGCTTCCAGAGAGAGTGAGAGGTTCCATGGGTCTAACCTCAAACTTCCCTCTGGCTCTGTGATTTATGGTGTGGGACCATAAGCAAGCTTGCCTCTCCCACTCCAAGTGTGGCAGGGTGCTCCTTGGAGCCCCAAGGTCCTTGAGGACTGCAGGGAAGAGCTCCAAGGAGCCTAGAGCAGGGGAATTCCTCCCAAGCCATCTGGCCACCACACAGCGCCCAGGGATTGGGGATCAGGAGATTGGAGTGATTACAGACATTAACCACAGAGGCAGTGGGGAGCTGGCCAGGCTCCCAGCACCCAGCCTCCTCCAATCTGGTAATGGTTCCATTTGCAGGCAGGGGTGGGGGAAGGGAAGCAGAGGCTGCCCGGCTCCTGGTGGAGGGAGAAAAAAGCTCCACCACTGCCTCAGGGCCTGCTCCAGCCACCCAGTCCCCTCCTGCTCCCTGTTGTTCCTTCTGCCTGGAGCTTTCTACCTACCACCCTTCCCATCTCCCCAGATCAGTGCACTTCACTGCCTTCCTTGTCCAAGGCCAGCTGAGACGTCACTTCCTCTGGGAGACCTTCCTTGACTGGCCATCTCTGCCACCGCCCACCCCTATGCTAGGGCACCATGTGCGTCCCGGTTTGTTACAGGGCACTGTGACAGGATGCTCGCCTGAATCCCCAGGGCTCGACTTGGAGTCTGGCATGGGACAGGCTGGCAGGGGGACAGTGTGGAGTGAAGCAGGATGATGGCTGGGACCTGTTCACCTGATCCCCTTGTCCTGCTTCCCAGCTCTTGAG